GGGCTAAACCGTACCATGTAATTAGTATATATTTTACAAGCGAAATGTGCAAACGTTATTCTGTATTTTCAGTGTACCATTTCCGTACAAGTACATTATCTTACACTGATATACAGAATAAGCTGGTCGAGCTTATTGAGTTGTGCGATCAATGCGATCAGTGTGATCGGCAGTGATCAAAACAATATGTTAAATCATCACCCCAAAAGCGCGTTAACGGTTCAATTGATACTTTTGTGGCCTTATATGATAGCATAGATAACATGGAAAAAAAAAGCGTTACGAATTTCTACTTTTGATTGTATGCGCATTGTCCACCGACCGTTGGATAACCGTCAGCTTTATAAAGAAGGCCAAGGTTAACGGTAGTGCGGTAGGACGCTATAACGCGCGCATAATATTTCTTTCTTTTCTTTTCTCATCTTTATTATTATTTTTTTTTTTTATATAAACCGAAAAAAAGTTTCCGACCGATTGTCGGTCGCGTAATGAGATGTAACCCGGTTGTATGAGCGCGGTAGATATTATTGTAGGTACATTAGCATACATACACAGCTGCTGCCGCCACTTTATGACTTATAATTTTTTTTTTTCCACTGTGACATATACCTACTTTATGTTAAATTATATAGGAAGGAGGATTCCTGTGTGTGTGTGTGTGTAAGTATGGTCGACCGCACGGCGTATGAATCATAACGGTACAATTCAAAAAGAAATCTCAATGACCTTGTGGCGTTGGGTCGTGCCCGTCGCGGTCCTCCCGGAGCGCGACCGCCTATAGAACGTGCTATACAAAATATATTATACATATATATATATATACACACATAGCGTACGCTTAAGTACTCGTTCGAGTTACCGAGAGAGAGAGAGAGAGAGAAAAACAACAAAATACCGTAAGTATACGCACGTGGTATTGCTAACCAAAGAAACGACACAACATAGGAAACGAGGGGGGGGAGGGTCAGGGGAGCGGAGCAAGTGGCAAGTACACACCCGAATATTTTTGCCCGAGATTCGCCGCGTAGATGATCAATCATAATGGTCGATTCTGATGATTCCTATGCTAGGAAAAAAATTACAAACACTCCAGTCCAGTCAGTTCAAAGTTAACCACCTAATATCTCCTACAATCAGCCTAAATAATGATAATTATTATCGTACGGACGTCTCGGATTTCCTGTGCACGTTTGTGTACTTAACTTTTGTATATATATTTATGTATTATATGTTCTTCTCTATATGTGTCTCTAGTCTCGCGGGACGGCCTCGCGTAATAACGGACACGAACATATATATATATATTACTATACATATGTAAGTAAGTATAACGGTGTTACCGTGTAATCCTGTTTGACTAGATTCCCAAACGACTGACGATTTTTTTTTTTTCATTATACAACAACCGCGATATTATGTCCACGATATCTGTACTAGGTAGCAAGATAATTTTTGTCATATTGATACGACTTTTGAACACTGCACTATGTCACCTGACTGCCATTTACAAGAACTTTGCACTTTTGCGGTTTGTGCTGTCTGTAACTCCAAGTACTTTCTCGATATTCCTACTTAATACTTATTTTCTTATCGTAGTACTACTTTCGAGCCTTTGTTTGTCGTCCGACACGACGGATTTCCTTTTTTATTTCGGTTTTTTTTACTTTTACGTCATGAACGTGTAGGTTAGCATTTTTAGAAGTGGCTCAAGTTTAAAATATATGATACAGTGTCAGTATTGTTAAACTACCTAAACATTTGAGTTGGTGTATATAGCCGTCGGGATTTTCTAAGAAGTGTATAATATGATCTGTGATCGGTGTTACTATGTGACGGGAAAAAATAAAATCTCTGCCAAAAATTAAATTTCCTAAATATTGTATTTTTAACTTAAAATGTATACAATTTGTCAGTGGGGGTACTCAAGTCAAAAAATATATCGAAGGAGGAGTCCTAGGGCCACCTTGGCACATTTATTTTCCAAACCTGCAAGATGTCGCATTGTGTCGCTCTACAGGGTATTCTATAAGGATGTTGTCATCACATTATAAAAATCCTTAGGGACATCACTAGGATTCCAGTTGCCACTAGTGTGTCGAGGTGCACAGATAAAAACAACTAGTAAAATCGAAAAGTTCTGCTTTGTTTTTGTTATTATTGTTTTTTAATCTAGGACGTTTTTATTTTTCAACGGCCTTAGGTCATTTTTTCTCTTTCTCTCGCGTGAACAATAAACATTCGAAAACAATAACTCGGGTCAATTACATTTTTGGCGTCAAATAATTACTATTATATTTTTATTTTTGGTTTCTTTTGTACGCCCGGCAATTTGGGTGGCTTAAATATTTTACAAACATAAAGCCACAGATAGTGTTTATCATAACATTATTGTATACATATATGTATATTGTTCACAAGCTTGGCTTGATGACAGTTGAACTATCTGTACCCAACCTAACGCGGATGTTTCAGTAAGGAGCACATTCCTTATGCGATGTCGCGATAGAAAAATTTCATTGACTCGCCCGATTCTCCTATACGGTCGTTGCGATCGTTATTACTACGATTCTTCTAATGAGGTTTTAACTATTTGACCATAAAAAAAATATCCGCACCAAAAATATAATGTAACGATAATATATTTTCAATATTTTCTCACGTGTGATATTCATTAGTTTTCTTTGATAAGTATGTGTAGTCTTTCAAAATTTAATGAAACAGTTTAGAACAAATACAGATAGAAAAAGGTTTTATTGACAAATACTGCAGTATACTAAAAAAAAAAATTGTTTTTGGAAAAATGTTTATTTTTATTCTTTTGGGTTCTTATCATCAACAAAAACGAATAATATTATTGAAATATTATATTTAACAATATAATTAAGTTTAAGAACAAAGCTCATGCTGCTCATTAATGTTAACGACAAATTTCATAATCAAAAAAGTTTTAAAGTACAGTAGTACTTAGTTAATACAATTAATATTACATGTTCGAATAGTTTATTGGAATCGTTTCACGGCTGATTGAATTTACACGGAGGAAAAATCCAAAAAAATGATTTATAGTCAACCCGTTTTTTTTTTACTTGTCACAAGATCTATTTGATGGGTGTTTTTTTTTATGATGATGATTACAATTTGGAGTACATTTCGGAGGCATGACCAATTTGATCCGGTCTTTTATTCAGTTATTAACGGATTTTTTTTTCCATGTAACTGAATTGATTACAAGGCATATTTTATTGCAATAAATATAAAATAATTAAATTCCGTTTAGCGGGACAACGAATAGTGAAAAAAAAAAAACAGTAACCGATGTAATACAAAACTGTAATGTCATTGTGAACGAAATACGAACTCTGTGCAACTTGTAAATCATTGTCTAGTTGTAACTTTTTTTTTGTTCTATTAATTTAGGAAAAACCTAAAACACGCCCCCGTTAAACAGCGTTTAATCACATTAAAGTTGTACACATTTCATTAATAACACTATGTATACATATAAGTCGACTTGCATTGTTTTTTGAGGCTTTATACAGTGAAAAACATTAACAGATTGTAAGTAAAACGTCAACTTCGTTTTGCTTAAAGAACAAAGCAGCTCTAAGATGACAGCTGTATTTTACAAAAAAAGTATAAATATTATTTACCCAACCAAAAGGCTACCGTTCGAAACAAAATATAATGTATGTCAGGCGAGTTTGTAGAAAACTCAATTACGTTAATTATCGATTTAATTAATGAATTCGAGCAATAATTTCTTTATAATTAAATGTTTGCATTTGAATGGGTGCATTAAGTGGTAACAGTAATTGGCGATTTGTTTTTGTTTACTATAATACAGGCAACGGGTAAACGGTAAAATGGCCACGAGCAAAGAGCAAGCGAGTAGCCCAATAGGTCAGTTCAGAGCTGTGAAAATAAACGACAGAATGACGTTATATTATGTGTGTGTACATTTTCGATAATAGTAAAAACAGAATGAAAGTGGCAAACCGTATCGTTTGTCGAGTTATATGAATAATTCGGCGTTACAGACTTTAAAAGTTTTACGAGACAAAGGACTTGTGTGGTCTCGAGGGAATAGTCAAAATTACCTGTGATTTATTGAGAGCGGAGTGAAGAGAAAAAAGTAACATGGATCGAGTAAGAATAGTTTTGAATCGTATTTTACCCTTTTTTAAGACTTCTACAAAATCCTAACTTGAATTAAAATTAACTGTGGCCTTTAAAAGGTACAGCTTGGTACATAAAAATTCTTAAAATAATTGTATGTTTTTCTGTACTGTTTAATCGATCTTATGTTTGGGATGGATTAAGTACCATACCTCGACAGTGTCGAGGTATTTGAGTCGACACCGAACGACTCAAATATGTACTATTATTGTTTACTTATCGAAAACCAGTTGGTTTTAATATATGAAAATCACTTTTTTATAAGTTGTCGAACGACGCATCTATTTGATATCATATAAATCGTCTAATTTATATTAAAAACGCATTTTTTTTTTACAACATCAAGAATATAATCTGTGTTAGCATACAGAGCAGGGTAAAAAAAAACACAGTGAATGGGTCATTCACTTGCAGGTTGTGTAAATGATTATAGCAACTAAGGTTATTAAAAACGACGGTTTTAGTTTGATATACTCCGAGTACCGAAAAACTACAAGTACCCAACATTTGATATTTGGTTTCCAACTCTTACAGCGCAGTTGTTTTGGGATATTTTTACAAAAAAAAAAACACAAATCTTAGATAAACTTTTTACTTTTCCAAAAGAACTGAGTAGCATTAAAGTAAAAGTTTATTTACATAAAATAAAAAATATCCAACTAAATTTCGACCTGGGCAATTGAAAACAAACTGTTTGGACAATGTTATAAATTGAAAATTTACTTGACGACGCTGATCTAACTACTAACGCGGTAGTCGCGACCCTAGCAACATTTTACCCCCCTTATGGCATAATACTAAATTATTGTAAAAACAAATCTAACCTGTATGCGGGGATAAGTCGCTAGACTTTGAGGTGTTTGGCTTAGCAGTCGCTGTACGCTTTGTATGTATAGTTTTTCCGGATTGTCTTGTTTCCCGGATTTTGTTTATTTGTTTTTAATTTTGTATCCTTCTTGTGCTTTATACGCGTGTGCTCAATTAGAACCGGCCGGTCGTCCTGAGGGAGCAGCGGAAATCGGGAAACGCGTTGTCTTCTGCTCGCTGTTGACCTGACGACTTTGCTGTTGATGTTGCTCTTGATGCTGTCGCCGACACCGCATGATGCGATTTGCTTCGAATTGCTCAATTATTTTGTTTTCTCCTCTGTGTCATTGGTGTTTTAGATCCGATCGAGTAAACAAAGTGGTTTCGTCTAACCGCCGACAGGAAACGCCGAAATTCGGTGGCCGGGTCGTTCTTCTCGGCTGATAACGGCCAACAACTGCAATTTATATATATAAAAAAAAAACTGTATCAATTGTCGAGAACATACAAAATACTTGATAAATAATTGCTAGGAAAATTAATATATTCCAAGTTGTTCGTGTACGAAAACGTCGTCGAGTGGGCGTTACTTGGCACTTGGCGCGCTCATATATACGAGCAATTATTAACGCTAAATCCAACGACACTCGAAAGACTTTAACGCGCGTGCGACAACGACCTATAATGACAACGATGTAAAAAATGTCTTCTACAGAACGGAAATACGTATTCGGTCCACGAGAACTAGTATAGACGAGTTCGCTGAAAATACTCAAATTCCCAATGCAAATTTACCACATTTTTTAATTAAATTACCGGCGGCTACTTTATAATGAAATCTAAATTATTTTCGATAGATCACAAAAAAAAAAATAGTACAAATGTTTTTAACTCGTATTATGCGCGGCCGACAAGTGGTTTTTAAAAATGTCCACGGTGTTTTGAAATATTAATATTATACATTCCGTGTAGGTTGCACGTTGATCATTGAGACCATGGTATTTGTGTTGTAAAGTAAAAAAAACAAAAATCAATAAAATCCTGATCTGAATAATGGGCGTTGTACTGTGGCAGACAAGTTATTAATAGGTCGGGTCAAAGACATTAGACGATTACTAATGCGTTTTAGTAGAATTGAAAAGAAAACACACGTTAATAGACCAAACTAATAGTTAACATTTTCGGAAGTTACTTAAACTATAAGCACTAAAAATATATACTTGTATTTTTAGTATTTATATTTTATTTTTGTTGAAAATTAGTTTTTCGCTCGAAAGCTAAAACCTGCCGAACCTTTGCTTTAGAGTGTCTCTAAGTGTTAAGTTTTTGCCACTTTGAGCGCAATATTTATCTTCGCCTATTTTGTCGTTACATTAAGAACACTTTTAATAATTAAAGAAATATAAGATATAAGAGATTTTTACATTTTAAGAATACATTAAAAACACTAGAAAATTAGATTAATTTTGTTGGTAACCACAATTATAGCTGAAGAACCTGTCTGCTATTTGTAAAATAATCAGCTACAGAAATAGCTGTTGAAATTTAATTTAAGCACAACAAAAAAGCAGGATTAGAAATAAATGCAGAATAATATGAACAAAATAATGATGAATTAACAATTTCGGGATTATCGTTTGAAGACTTACATCTTTCTTCAGGTACATTTTTCACGAGTTGTAAATAAGTAACGATTGTTCATGAACCTTTTTGGTCGGTAAAAAAAAAACTTATATCCCATTCTCTGCGGTGTTCTTCGTAATTATTATTGTCGTCGATGTAATATTGCATATTGAAAGTTACAAAAATTGAGAACCAAAAGTTTTTGATCATACAACATTTGTCAATGAAATCGTTTTCTATACTTCCGTTTTAAAATTAATTTTTGAAATAGAATTATCGAAGAAAACTAATAATTGACACGACACGTTGAAAATATAATTTTCACTCTCCTATAAAATTGTATATAAATTATACGTTGACCTTTTGTGGTTCTCAGTTAATTTATTTACCAATAATATAAAAACAATTACAACCTAGCACTTACCTTTGTTTTAATAATTCTTCAGCTGGGAACGAGATTGGTGCAGAGTGCGTATGAATTTTCGAGGAAAAAAAAAATTAATAAATTTCACGAAAAAATGTAAAACAAAAAACGTTAATTAGGATAATGCTACAAACGTGAGAGTTTGAAAGTATACACTAAATACTTAAAAATGTATATTACTTATTTAATTATTTTAATATAAATACTGTATATGTTTTATAGAAAAAAATTTTAAATACTAATAAATTAAATTTTAAATTTTCGTGTGTCCAATGAAAATGTGATATATTATTTATTATTATTATTATGATCGATATTGGCGACAGTGTGAATCAATGACCCGTTGTTCCGGACGCACCGGCGGCAATAGAGAGACCAGCTCTGGGCAAGAGCATTGACAGGAAGCAGCGGCGGCGGCTGTGCTGTGTATGATGACCGACCAAGTCGCCGTGTCCGGAAGATGGCATTAGCTCTCCTCCACCATAATAATAATAATAATATAGACACGGTCGACGTTGCTGCTGCTGCTGCTGGCCGGCGTACAAGTGGTCTCCGTATACTATATTAATAATATATAGCTATATTATAGACTATAATAAGTACACACAACCGACCGAAAGTCAGCTGATCACCGACAGCGGTCTTTGCCACCACCACGATCAAGGTTGGTGGCACACGGCGTACCTGATATACCTACCTACACACACACACAAACACACACACACACAGTATCTGTATATAGGTATTATAATATCTTATATATAATATATATATATATTATGTATAGCTGTTGTTGTTCGCCGTGGCCGTGGCCGTAACCGTCGTTCGCGATTATACACACTCCTCATTGGCGGCTGAGCGCAGTTTGAGTAGGGGGAATGAACTTTTCAGACAATACAGTCGCAGACGCGATATAGTATTGTAGTATATGTATATATAAATGTGCATAGATAGATAGAGAGAGAGAGAGAGAGAGATAATCAGAAATGGGCTAAATACTTAACTTTTAGTATTTAAAAATTATAAAAGTACCGAGATAACTGATCTCATATTTAAAATACAAAATACGCAAAAAAAAAACCCAAGCCCAAAAACACCTAGTTGATTTGTTTCTTTTGACCCGGCAAATATTTTGGTATTTACAAAAATATGGGTGTATCAAGGTTTTTAATGAGTTCATCCTACACACGCAACATTAAATTGGGTAGGGTATATAACGAAAAAAATTCGGTTTATTGCCAAATCTGAAAATATATATCTTTTCAACTACACTGCATGTTGTTTTACTAGTTAAGACTTGGATTATTCCATTTAAAATTTACTCGACACATTTTAGTCATCACGCACACTTCAAGTGTGCTATACATTTTCGCCAAATTTATCTTCAGGCGTCTATCTTCTAAGACAAGCATTTCCGAGAAAGTATGGCTTCGTGTGAAAACCAAGCGTGTATGTCAAGTGAAAATATGTCTTAACGAGGTAAAGGGTATTTTCATAATTTATATATTTTATTCAAACCGCATATACTCCACAAATTACGCTTAGGTTTTTTTTCTTTTGTCTACTTGTCGGTGGCCAGAAAAAATGGCCATTGCGTTCAGAAATTAGTTCATTGAATTTGATCCAAAAGTCACACTATGAAAGAAATCAAAAGAAAAATGTCCAAATAGAATATCATCCAAACGATAAACGGTACAAAAGAAAAATGACCTGACAATAATAATGTTACACAAAAGTATTGAACGTCCAATAAATAACATGTTTTATATATTTTTTAATAAATTGACCGTAGCTTGTTCGTGATATAAATAACGTGGACACAGAAAAATTCACGTACTAGTAAAAAATTAGGCCATAATCGAAGCCACGGCACTAAATCATAAGAACAATAATAAAAATAATAGCAATAACAATAGCAATACTAGAAGGTAAATTAAAATATAACCTAAAGCAACGGCCTATTGTTTTAATGTAACACATTGTACTATCCTAATGCAATTTGTAAACAATTATTATCGGCTGTTATTTGAAAATAAAAGTAATAATTTGATTGCTTTTTTTTTACTTATTTATACTTGAGCTTTTACGCTCTAGACCAATTATTATACAAGACAGCTTACAGAGGACATCCTTTAACCTGTAACCTATTTTTCTCGACTCGTAAGCTTAAAATTCATGTCTAAAAAAGTAATACCACGTACTTATTTTTCGCAATATGATATTTTCTGAGTATTTTTTTCTAATAGAATGCGTTCAGATCACTTTTTTGGGTCTAAATCCAAGTTGATTATGACATATGAGGGGACACGCTTAAAGGATACCTCTCCAGTAACTAAAGCCTTAAACAATTTGGGAATAATGGATTTATTGGAAATGGGCCTATAATTAAAAACAAAATGTACAAAATAAATACAATATAAGCTGAAAAAATCCAACTTTTTTTTTTCTTCAAATACTATAATATAATACTATGACGTTTAAGTATATTTCCTAAAAGTTATTACTATAAATATGGTTTTTATGATAGAATCCGAATTATCTGTGTGACCATCACTAGTGGTTTCGCGCGACCGCAGACCGCTTTAACTGTAATACTTAATATATATATTATTTATTATTATTATTACTATTTACTTTAATGTCAAAAGTTAACGAACCTAATGACGATGACGGGCAAAGACACGACTCGGGTGTTATCTCCGTGACTCGAACAAGGGGCGAGTGCACTTGGAAATTCGTCTTTGTGAAACATTCCACCAAGCGAACACGGGCCACGATTCGATAATAGCAAAAAAAAAAATATATATATATAAATGTATATAGATATATATGTATATATGTATACAATGAATACGCACATACCTACATAGGAATCGTTTTTTTTTATGTTTAACCGATCATAATCGGGCTTTGTCCATTGCCCATAACAAAAAAACGATTCCGTGCATTATAAATATACACCTGAACCTGAACTACATAATAATATGTACTGTAGTGTTAAAACACTGCAACAGCCAAAACTGTCGGATTCCATTGTATACACATCGTTACCTACATCTCAATCCCGGTTTGGTATGCGAAAAAGTAAGTTGTTTTAAATTTGTAGATGAAAAAGGGCCAACCAACAATAGGGAGGATTTGCTTGAAGGGTGTTAACTTAGACTCCAAATGAATATTGAACTACACAATTTAATCGAATTATGTTTAAATTTAAATATTTTTAACGGAGAATTTTCGCTATGACGTTTTATAGTGTTTATAACCAAATAGTGTACACTTAATGTCTAAATATACTGCTGACGCTTGATCCATTAGGTTTTAACTTTTATAAAAGTTAGGTAAAATGCCCAATATAGTTTTTGTAAGTTATCTATGTATTTATGAGATGTGGTCGTTACAGGAGCACGCAACGTCAACATTCTCAAAACTTCAGTTCCAGTATCCTTGTTTTTAAATGCCTCGGCGATGTATCAAGTCGTTATAGGAGTAACATAGTTTTAGTGTCCAGTATACGGTCTAAATTAAAAGAAGATATGAGTCATATTTAAAAGACCGCCTTCAATTCATACTCGTATCATAACTTATTATTCGCTTGGGTTAGGTTAGGTTAGGTTAACCCAAGTTTAGTTTAACCGATTTAAACAATGGTTTTATGTTTACACGCTACAAGAGTACAACCAATTCTTCTTTAGGACGTTGCCATTTTCGGCTAATTGACCCTCGACTGTTATGGTTATCACCATAACTATTTAAGACGTACGTAGACGGGCACTTATAATTTGTCTGTCTATGTGTGTTTATGACAAATTAATAATTATTATTAATTTCGCCCGTAAGCGTAAAGCAGTAGAAGATATTGTTAAAAAAAAAATAATAATAATAATGTTATTGGAAAACCTGTTTTTGACGGAGACTAGTGAATATTATGTCTTATAATATTAATAATAATATGTATTCGGAGTCAAAAAAACCGACATGGAGCGTTGACTATACGAGGTAAGGCGCTCCGTCGTCTACGCGTACAATAGCTAGCATTACGATTTTACACATTTAGGTTCAGGGGTTCTTAAACATTTTAAGTCTCAAATTTGAATTTATTTCGGCGAAAATCTGTGCATGATCTATGGAAAAAAAAACGAAAAAACAACATATTTTACGTTTACCTCGTCTGTAGGTACCTGTTAGGTTAAGTATGCCTATCTAAATCTCTGTCTACGCTGTAGTATATTCTCCTACTCGTTGTAGGTACATATCCCTCGCCTTTTCAGCAAACCCTAAATTTCTTTGTTTACACACGTTAATAGCACAAATAAAACGCAGAATTATCACTATACGGAAAGACAAAAAATTATGTTTTTGTTTTAAAAAATAGTGTTGGTATTCGAAATCAAGGTAATAGAATAGCAAATTATACTTTTTTCACGTATATTCGTTAGTACACGTGTTGAAAGTTACACGTGTAATGGTCAAGGAGGTTTCTAGTGGTACTGTCGTACAACTATTTCAAATAAAACCCGCAGTAATCTATTTCCTTGTCCATGGCCCACGCCTTAATTAACTACAGAATAATAATAAATAATATCAACACGTACTCTGAAGCGTTTATGTTATTTGCATAAAACGTGTACAACCGATAGAACCGTGTTCTTTATTTGACACTAGCTTTTAACACTATTATATTTTTTTAACAAAAAAAAAAAAAAAATAGAGCAACTAACCTATTCGTATCACTCGGTATAAGAAAAACTGTTAGACAAAGAAACCGAGTATGCAAATCTTGGATAATTAATAGATGCCCACCACTAGACAAAACCGCAGACATCCATTTGTAAAACTTTTATCGTTCATTTTACAGCATGATTCATAAAACATTTATTTCGTAATGTGAAGTTAATAATCGAATTAATGTATCTCTACATAAAACACGGATTGCACAAAACTTTATTGGTTCCATAAACCTTTAGTGCAGCACTGTGATTGGTTCAATCGAGATTTATGCAACCAATTAAATTTTGCACAATCCAATATAATATTTTACTATTGCCTTACCGCACAAAAATCGAGTTAATACCATGAGTCATAAGATTCACTATTAAGTTAATATTTAAATTTCTTCATCAATTATATAAACTTATCAATGAATCCAGATTTTATCAACAAAGAGTTATGTATGGACAATTTTGTTCAAAATAATTGATCTAAACCCATCTATTGTGAATAATTAAATGATTTCCTATTCCAAAAATTCTTATAGAAATATTTGTTTATATTATTTACCTTATTGTTTCATAAGATTTTTGTGACAAAATTTGCAAGGACATATTATTGTAAAAAAAAAAACATATTTTTTAAACATATACATTTGTTTTAAATATTTCATTTGTACTTGAAAAATAGTACTTTTTTATCTTTGCAAACATATATTTTTATTGATTGTTAGGTATTTAATTTCATTTTTTAAAAACAATTTTTTATCGACAACATCCAAAACCATTTTTACCTGATAGTAACTTTTTAAGAAAAACTAAATCGGCTTGAACTCTTCTGTTTGTATTGAGGACAATTTTAAAGAAGTAAGAACAGGAGAATAGTCATACGGTATGTGGTCTATTTTTAATAAATATCAAGTAAAAAACAAGAATTTAAGTTGTGCACGCTCTGTGCCTACATTATTATAATATATAGTACTATAATTGATAGTATATGGATCCCATAATACAGATGTGTTAAAAAAGAGCGCACGGTACAATGACTTTATAGGCGTAACTAACTTTAACTGCCTACACACACGTCTAACATAACCAAGGACTTTAAGTGCTTTGCCACACAATGCTTCGATATGATAATGGAAGGTTAGTTATTGGTATCAAAAACGATGCCTAGGTCACTAAACCGTTTTTACCGCGCGTTTGAGCTGAGTTCCACCGATATCAAAGCCAAAAACAATAGAGGTGCACGAGATTTAAAGAGAGACATAGAGGCCCGGAATGCAACTACATTGAGATCTTCGTTCAGCCGTTGACAATCATCTACTGTATTGATTCTCCTAAAAAGTTTTATGTCACCCGCAAACAACCAAAATTTGCTTTGTCGCAAATCATACGTTAACATCTTTTGCATTGTTTATAAATAACGAACAAAGCAAGGGAGAGATGGGCCCCCATACGGAACGCCAGAAGGTACGTCAGTAACACAAGACTGTACTCTATGCACATTTAAAAATTGCTTTCTATTTGATAAGTACGAACGAAACCAAGTTAACGACGGCTCACTGATGTCAGAGCGTCTGATGTAAAACGTTAAGCAGGACTTTATGATTCACCCGATTAAAGGCTTTTAAAAAGTCCAAATAGATACCTTCAACCTGGGCATGGTTTGAAAACGCATCCGTCACGTATTTAGTGAAAACCAAAATAACATTTTAATGTAAAATGTCCGGGTCGCGGAAGCCATGCTGCTCGTAAAACAGGATGCTATTCAGCTTTGGTGTACGCTCCACGAACCTTCTATAGCATTTTTTGGATTCACACTCGATTTAGCACAGAGATAAGAGAATTGTTTGTACAGTCCTGGGGATTTTCCGTAGCTCTGAACACTGCATGAGCTTTCCTCTTACGGGTAACAAATATCAATAAAACTGTTAAAAAACCAAACCGGGGAGTTCAATAAAATCCTTAAAAAATCAAACCGGGGAGTTCGATGGCCTGAAATAAGCTTTAGTTAAAAAATGTAAAATAAAACTATGGAGACCATCTTAGAAATACTCATAGTCGAGTACATAGCGTTTACACTGGAAAAAGGTGCAATACGGTTAAAAGATAATAAGAACTCGGATATTCTTACATAACCCACCCGCCGAAAATCAAAATACGAAGTAGATAAATGAAAACCAGGAGCTTATTCTGTTTACCTGGTGTATTCTTTTATCTGTTTTTTTATGTAAACAATTGTATTTTACTATTAAAAAACATGTGTCTGGTTTTATTCTTCACCAAACAAAGATAAAAACCAATTTATAGAGCGAGTTTTAGTTATTTTTTAATGAAAGAGCAGTTGGTTGGGAGGACTCGTCGTGACTCGTGTGGGGGGAAATTTGACGGGCAATTGGCACATTTACTTATAGAATTACCCAGCCGAGAAACGCTGAACTTCCTACTTAATTTAGCATTGTATCTTAACCTAATATAGTAAGATTTCAATAAAAATAAAAATAAAAAATGTTTAATGCATGGCGGAAAAAAATGTCAAGTATATTTATTTGCCACAAACATTTATGTTAAGTTTATTTGGATGTAAAAAGATGTGTAAAAATAATTGGTAGTTAAAAAAAATGACCTAATTTAGGCATAGGATATTATTTAAATTATAATAAGAGTTCATAAACGGGCTTACAAAACACCTATTAAAACGATTTCACTAGTTTTTAAAGCCGTTTGGTCTCCTCATTAACTAGACAGACCAGAAAACAAATATTATTTTTATAGCGATGACACAATTAATAATTAATGATTTGTTTTATTAGTTTTTCCCAAATTCTTTTAATAGTTAAAAAAAAAATAATGAGAACCAATACATACTATATAAATCATTTCGAGGGAATTTATAATGTTATTTTTAATATTTATCTTATTTATGCTAATGTTTTTATAATTCTTGTTATGTTATACAACTCAGTGCAGTGAACTATGAAAAATGTCCATATACTTACTGATAACGCGTAGGATAATACCAAATTGACTACTATTGTTTTAAAGTATAGTCGATAATAGAATGCGCGCGTATTATTATCATTTTTAAATATTTACTTAAAAAAAAAAATACTATAAAATCCTTAGCTTTCCATTCGGTTCCTAATCTGCCGGTCGACGATTTAAAACCCGAATAGAGCGGAGAGATATAAATTTGAAATTATTATTATTATTGTTATAAATGTATATATTTGTTTCTAATTCGTAAAGCGCACTTGATGTACAAACAATAGATGGGTACTTACCGACCATGTTTGAATAAAAACAAATAATAAAAACTTTGAGAACTTTTGAAAAACTTTACCATTACCTACGCAATAATAGTATTAGTAGGTATAAATAATTAATTGGGTATTTGTAAATTGTAGTGACTGTTTAGTGTTTACTAAGACTACATTAAGTATAGATTTGTTTTACAACAAAGTGTAGCGTTTTCTTAATGATACAGTAAACACGGTGCTTAAGATTTACCGTACGCGTACGTTGGTATGTAAGTTCAAGCCGGTTGTATATTATTGGTAACTGAAATAACGGACCTACCTATACAATAATTATTGCCGTCACGGTATCAACCATAGAAGACGATACTAAGTACCTACCATGGAAATAATACCGGCGCTAATATCTATAGGTATACTGTAAATATGGAGTTAATGAGCATATTTTTTAAGACGTTCGAACATTAAAAATATATTCTTTAATTTGTATATTATGAATAAATTAAAAAAGCAGAACGTTTTATATATTATGTTATATTACATCGGTCATCGGTGCTTCTATTGTGTGCCTACTGCAAATAATTTACTTCCATAAAAAATTCAACCCACTAATATTCAGAAGCGTATTTTTTTTTTTTTACTTTAAATATTTTAAAATTAATATTAACTTTTATCTATTTAAAATACATAAAATACATTTTTCTAATTAGTCATTTTGACAGTTGTTCATTTGGGTATTTTTTTTATATATTTTAGCATCGATGCTATAGCTGAGAAGGTATTTAAATTTGTTCATTATATATTAGTGTCAAAATGACTAATCGTCATTATTTAATAATCATTCTTAAATTGGTTAAATTTAATATTAAGCGACGAAAAACATCTGTCTAGTCTAAATTTTCTTAAAATAAAAATACATATTAACTCGTTAATATAATGTAATAGGTTAATATAATATAAATAAAAATGAGATTTTTAACATTTTTTTTCTTCAAAATATACCAATTTAAAAACAGGTACGATAAATTAACTTATTCGAAGAAAAAAAAATATTAATATTTAGATACCTCATACTATTACTGTACAGCTGATGACTGATGTTTTTAACTTAAAAAACACTTGTACTTTTTAATAACTAATACCTAATTGTCAACTGATCTTTGAATTTCCTTTTTTTGAAACTGTCAAAGAACCGAACGTTTATGTTGTTTATTTCAATAATACAATAAAACTGTTTTTGAATGTTTTGTGTTTTGAAAATGTTTCTTTACTACTTGGAACTTACTCGGGTTGTTATCCCGTGTACGTTTGTGCTACAGTAAAAAATATTAAGTACCCACAATATATTATGTGGATACATATTTGTGTGGGCTAGTAAGTAGAACATTTTCATAAACGACTACAGAGCAAAAACAAGTGTTTACTAGTACAACTAAGTATCGCCTAATAATTAAAAAAAGTTTACGTTTTTAACACTATTTATAAAAAAATATAAATTTTGATTTGAATTGTTCGTGTTTTCCTTGGCCCACAATAACGAGCCCTGGATGGCAAATATGAGATAATAAGACATATAATATGGTGGTAACAAGGAATCGGATTAACTTAGCCCATCCGCCCACATAAATATATAATATTATGGCTTCTCATAAAAATATACAGTACCTACTAGGTATTTTTCATTACTTTGTAGAATACAACAAATATTAACAGTTAAAAAGCGCAATACCTACTAAATAATAACGCGCTGTTTGCCGTGTGACGTGCCTAAATAAAAGGAGTTCAAGGATATTTTCATTATTATCAATAAACACAAAGCAAAAACATCCTTATCAGTACATAGTTGGTTATTGATATTCGGTTTTGTTTACTACTTATCTCTGTTGTGCGAGATGAAAAATAATATTAAATAATAATTAATAATAATACAACTATTGAACAAACTAATTAGACGATTAGCGTACAGTGTATTATGTGTTTCGTTTTAATTTGATAATAATGTGTACGTTGTGAAACTTGTTTTACTCGATTAAATAGCAAACATTATATAATAATGTTTACCGTGCTTGACATTCGACTATTCAAGTACAACTACAACCGTTCTAGACCGTAGCAAAAAAACTGAAGAAGACTTATTGAAATCAGCTACCTACGTGCAAGTGTTTGGTATGTTCACTTGGTTAATCATTTTGAATAACAATATTTAACATTCATATGTGTACCAAAAAAAATATCCCTCTTGTGTCTATCTACTGATTAGATATTATTTTCAAAGTATTGAAGAGATATAAAAGTAAAAGCGATTACGTAAACCACCTGCATGTGTGTCTTTTAAGATAAGTAAATAACAATGTTAAGACTTGCTTGTTTAAAATTTGACAATTAGACTTTTTCAGTATTGCTTTACAGAAGAAAAAAAAATTATATTTTTTGTATTAGCTAAAAACTAGTTGCGTACTCCGTCATGATTATTTTTTAACTGGGTATTTTTTCTTTATTTAGACAAAAAATATACTTTCAGTTTTAGGAAATCATAAAGAATGTAGTTGTGATAATATATTGTGTTGATATTTACAGTAATAAAAAATGTAAACAAAAGAGGAGGACCTTAAACTCGTTGATTATTGTGATCAACATAATTTATGTTTAATATCTATTGTTATATTAATCTAATTTTTTTTTTTTTTTTAGAAAGATTTATAAGGTTCAAAATGAGTTCTCTCACCAGAGATAACTCTCGTCGTCGAATCGCAGCGTTATCCTTTTTAACTAATATTTCTCTTGACGGCACGCACAAAGACACGAATAAGTCACTTTTTATGACTAACGATTATAATTTTCGTGATTCTCAAGAACAATTTGATACGTTTCCCGACATGGATACAAATGAAGATGATACTTTTAGCGAAAGTGATATAATAGTGGAACGTGTAGATACAGATTTTCCCACCACTATAAAATTAAAGAAGACTCAATCTTTGACTTCTACTCCAATGAAATCAAATTCAAATGATAAACAAGACAAGTTTTTCGATATGGACACCGATCGGTTCTCTTCCAGACCATTTCGAGACAGGTATTATTCACAAAGTTATTTAATACTTTTTTTTACAACTGATACATATTATGTTAAATGATGTTCAATTACAGAGTTAATACAACTGGAAGTGACAATACTTTGGAGCATAAACGATTGGCAGCCTACTGCCGTAAATTGCTTCCCCATAATCTAGTCTCTGAAGATAAATGCAACAATAACTTCAGCAGTTCTGAAAGCCTCGGCTTAGGCTTATTCAAAAATAATACAATGTTGCAAGAAAACAATAAATCATCAAATCAATCGTTAGATATTAGAGTGATTCGTCCTACATTATTGCATAAATTTAAAAACGAACGTTTGGTGTTAGTCACTCCACAAAAAACTCCTTTTCTCGTTTACTCACTCATACCGTTTAAAAGGTTTGATTTTTTTTTTTTCAATATTTCTAGTGTTTTTCAGTTTTGTTATAATTTATTTTCATTTATAGCGAGCGTTGTGAACAGAAGAAAGAACCTCCTCGTAAAAGGCAAACATCGGGAACAAGACCTTTGTCGGCTGTCAATGATATCATTGATGCATTCGATCTGTTTGGATTGGAAAAAGGAAAAGATGGACAGGTATGTCAACTTTTAGCCATTAACGAGTTTAAACTACACATAATATTACACATGTAATGTTATCATTTAACTAATGCTATTTGACAAAATTGTATGACTTAACTTAAATACAACTTGTTATCAATCGACATTGACGTCAAAAGTTACTCTCGTAGTATGAAAATAATGATGGTTTTATTGTTCTACTTTCAGGAAGTATCTTACAGTCACTTATTATTGCAGTCTCGAAATGCAGAGCACAAGTGTCCAATTGAGGATTTCGTAGATCCGGTACAAGTTAAGCAACATAGCTTGAACAGGTAATTAAACTTGATGTAGATTGGTAACAGTTTATTTTTATAAATTATTTTTTGGATACAAATAAATACCAGTACAAATTTTCGCCATGTGATTTTTATTTCTAAGTGAAACATTAAAAATAAAAATCTGTTCAAATAATAATAATTGAGGGGCATGGTGTGCCCAGTGAACCTCAGTTGTGTCTTGTGGCACTGGAGGTTAAGCTGTGTCCGTTGCTGCTTAATCCCGGATGGTTGACCACCCGAGATTTTCAGCTAGCGGTGACCCATGCCATGTCCCTACCAGACCTACACCAAAACCAATCAACAATAAATTAACCAACAGCTTATGACCAAAGTTGCTAAAGATTAGGAAAAAAAAAATATATATAATAATAGTAGTAGTAGTAATAAAAATTGTATAAAATTTAAAATTACTGACACTTTATTTTTACTTTATTGTTGTTTCTGTAATTTCAGATGCATTTCAGCCGACGTTCCTGACAACAATATAATTGGCAGTGGCACATTTAAAATGTGTACAGTCCAAGTTCCATCGTCATCTCCAAAAAGTGATTCAACTAAAGGTAAATATTATTTCACTCGCCTTTTATTGTTTATATAAATCATATGATAAATAATTTTTTTTTCGATTTCAGCTGCTTCCGAACAAGAAGAAAGCATATACTCTCCGAACATGCTTGACGATCCGGAATTTTTTGCCGGAAAACATCGCACACTTTTGACTTTCATGTCTTACATGGTTAATATTTCTTTTTATTTTATTGCCAAGCACAATTTCTAAATGTTTTGTTGACAAGTAATACATTTGAGTAAAATGTGAATTAATTAAAACATCTAAATGGCCAATCTCCCACCAAACTATACCTCTTGGCCAAAACATATTTAACTAGGGTATAACTCCTTTTCACCAATGGTTCAGAGCTTTTGACATTCGTAGACGTCTTATTATTGCTTTTTCTCCTTCTTTAAATTGTTCATAATTTTCTTCATGCCTTTTCCTTTCTCACCTATCTCTCAAATCCTCCCCTTACTGAACTTTACATGATGAACCTGTAATATGTGACTTTTTCCATTTCTTATTCATTGTCCCACTCTATCTTCTAACAGAATACTCTTTTAACTTTCCCTTAACTCTGGTTCTGTTACCATCATTGGAGTCACCTCCATCATTTGGTTTATGTTAAGCACTGGCTTTTCTAACTAATCAAGAATATTTAAAAATGATAATTTTTTTTTTTGTATTTGTTATATTTTGAGTTGATTTTAACATAACACCTATAAACTATTATAATTATTAAAAAAAAATAAGTTTGTGTTTGGCAAATTACCTTGTATTTAACTCAAAATTGTTTTAATGCTGATTAATGAAAATTATATTTTATATTCTAGACATCTATTATTGATTACGTAAGACCCGCAGATCTGAAAAAAGAATTGAACGATAAATTCCAAGATAAATTTCCCCACATCAATTTGACCTTAAGTAAACTGAGAAGGTGAGTCAAAATATAAGAGTAAAAACATTTACGATTCTTCTTGATAAACAATTATTGTACATTTGTTTCTAGTATAAAACGTGAAATGCGTAAAATTACCAAGCCGGACGTTGCATCGGATTTGCTAACGATAGCTCAGGCGTACGTGTTCTTTGAACGGCTATTGGTAAAGAGACTAATTAACAAAGAAAACCGAAAACTTTGTGCCGGAGCGTGTATCATCTTGTCGGCAAAGTTAAACGACATGAAAGGAGAATTACTGACTAATTTAATTGAGGTATACTTTCAATAATAGATGCCATTTGTTTTGATCATTTATGTAAAACTATGTAAAGGTTAATCATTTTGATTTTGTAATTTCAGAGAACAGAATTAGTGTTTCGCTTGAACCGAAAAGATCTGATGGTCTCGGAGTTTGGCGTACTGGTGGCTCTGGAATTTGGCTTGCACATACCAATTCAAGAAATAATGCCTCACTATCAACGCTTATTATCGGAGTCTTGACATCAACACATTATCCCTGAAGTTTTTAACTTCACGGACATACCTCCTCTAGAGTATATAAGTCAAATATAAAATAGCTTCGCTTTATGCTAGTCCACTATTAACGTATAGTTACCATGCGAGTATGGTTTTTTTATAATATCCTTTTGAAATGGTCAATGGTTATTAAACTAATGAATTGGTTAGGTTTTCAAGTTTGTGTGTAGTTTTTTGTTAGTGTTTGAGCTTATTTAAATTACCATACATTTGTTGACAAGTAAAAATTAAATATTGTATGTCCCAACTTTTTATTGTAAAAAAGTCTTTAAAAATAATTTTTTTTTAAATTTTTTAATTATTATTAGAGTACAAAAAAGATATTTACCTTTTTTTATTATAGACTGATATTTCATATTTTTAAATATTTATGTTTGATGAAATTGTTTTTACTTTTTCAAAAATGTCATTTTAAGAATTATATCAATTACTAGACTTCTGCAAGTATAAAGCAATTAGCGTTTATATTCCACTGACAATTCGTCACTTACATTATCGATAGAACAGATTAATATTATGATAGATTAGTCATTAAAGAATTTCTGTATAATAAACTGACAGTGTTTTTTGTGTAATATATTTTTTATGATATCTCAACCACGTTTATTTTGAATATTACCATGAAATTTCTGGTAAGTTAATTATGCCTCTTTGGTGCTATTATCGATTCCAATTGGACCTGAAAAAAATGGATATTTATAAATAATAAAATACATATATATATATTTTTTTTCTTTTATAACGAACATTCTATGTTTTATAGAATCTATATTATGTAGTATAATATCAAAAGAGGACAGATCAAACACTAGGAAATATATTTTTTTTATAATTTATACTTTTTACTATTTAAAAGTACTTTAAAGGTAATTAGACCTGTTTTTTTTTATTTTACATAATATGAAGGTAAGGTTATTAACAAATATAATATTCAATATTATCATTTTTGTGGTTGGTTTTTAGCGTAAAATAATGGGCCTATGTGATTTTTGGATAAAATTTAATAAGCGTGTAATGCAATTGAGAATGTATATATGTATAATTTTTTTTTACTATTATTTCTTTAAAAGTTTACTTGAACTTTTCAACTACAAAATTTGATATTTTGATTTAGATTATGAGAGGCTGTACAAAACATAATTACATATGAGTAAAACTAATTATTATAAAATTAGCCCCCATATTTGAAATAAAAACTAAATTGCACAAAAAAAAATACTGTGACCAAGTATTCTCGTTTCAACAAGATTTTTTTTTTAAATCTACCTTTAAAACACATTTTGGAAACGATTTTAAGCTAACACTATGTATAAAGAATAGCCTAAAAATAAAAAAACCGAAATGTTTAAATAAAAATAGTAGCGATTGACAAGAAGTAAACGCGCTACACAAAAACTGATCAGATCAAATAGTGACCAAATTTAGTGTAACCTAACTAAAATTACTAAATTACTAAAATCACTATTAGATCTGGTCTTGTGAAATGTATAAAATATGAATCAAGGGTATAATTATATATTATTATTATTTTATAATAGTGAATAATGTATACTTTAATCAATTGATTGGCTTTTTTCAATGCGTTCAATTCTTCTGCTTGTCGCTGCACCTCGATGGCACGGGCTTCGGCCGATTCTCTTTCCACTTTCTCCGTCGTTGCAATAGTTTCGGCCAACTCCTCTTCCAATTCTTTATTTTCTGCTCTCAGCTTTTCGATTTTTTTCTCCAATTCCGCTTTTTTGTGTTCGCTCTGTAACGTATCCAGACCTCAGTTGGGTACATCAGACAAACATACCAATTTGTAATTTGTCAATGTGTCAATTATTACAACGCCAATCAAATACTATATCAGAAGCGGTTCAACACAATATTATAATATATTTACATATACCACTCATCTAGTAACCAATGGTAACCTTATATTATTTATGTATGAAACCTCAAACACACACGTTGTGTCGATTATTTCAAAAAATTAGGGGCATATTTTTTTCACACAACCACCTACTAATTGGATTTATTAAAATAGCCACCCCAAAGCCTGATAATATATGCAAAAATAATTATACTATGTAACGACGGTTTTAAGAATTTAAGCATTTTAAGTTAGCCGGAGCAATTTAAAATATAATCAACTCTCTTTCTGTCAATCATTAGGTATTATTCTAATCTTTCACAAATCATGGGCAAAACGTTTTACTTATTTTTTAAATAATTTTTAATAAACAACACTTTTTTTAAAAAAACGTTTTTTTTTTATTTAAAGTAAAGTGTGTGCTGTAATTTCTAATAAAGTATTAATCTAACATATAATTTCAGTATGTTTTTCAAGATTTTTTATTGTAACTCAATTTTTTAGGTGAGTTATAAATTTAAAATCCTTTGGACTCGTGAGCTGGTTGAGGTAAAAAATAAAAATGTATCTGAGAAGCTTGTTTTAATTGGTATTAAAATATGTAAAAAAATTAAAAAACGTGATGCAATGAGACCTATGAAATTTCATTCACTCCGGATTTTCCTGGAATAATCAATAATATAGTTGGTATATTTCTGTTAGGAAATTTGATCTTTTAAAAGTACCCTGACAATGTAGCAAAATAATTAAAACGTTTTAAGCGGGGGGTTTTTTTTTTTAATTTAGACCATGAGAAAAAAAAATTCTACACACATGCCTTGTGTTGGTGTTTATACTTTTGAAAATGCACTTGTCCTACCACGTATTTTTGGTTTCGGCCAAATTAAGTTGTTTATAATAGTATACTTATTAAACTATTTTCAGATAATATTTTTGTAAAAAGTACAAGCGGTGTCTGTGTACTGGAGTACGTCTTACCAACAATGCTTTGCGAATGCCAAACGCTATTGAGCTCTCGTAGAGTTCTTGGTAAGCGTCGATGGTCATGTTGATCTCGTCGCGAATGTTTATTAACATCAAACCACGTTCAGCGCAGTTCATCGTCACTTGTCTGATTATCTCGTCTATAACGATGTACAGACAATAACAATAATAATAATAACATAACATCACGCAGACACTTAACAGTTAGGTGTAGGATTTATGTAAAGACTAAATATAGTGGGACTTTTTGGTAGCAAAGAGGTCCTATATTTTTGTTTTACGGCGACTAAACACGTCTCTCTAATAGAAGACAACGTACTAAAGCATTGACTGTACAGTTCCCGTCTTACGGGACAAATGCCCACTTCCCTCGCCTGATATTGCTTCAGGTACATATCCAAATCGTCGGCCAACTTCTTCACGTCCATCTTGGTAGCCGGCTGATTGGATATCTTCTGTCTCCAAAACTTGCCGTTTTCTTCCCATTCCCTAGGCGGCAGTATACAGCCAAGCACGGTGGCCGAATTAACTTCCTCGTCAGCATCGTCTCCCAAGTCCCAAGAACACACCTTTGGCTTCGACGGCGCGTTTTCCTGCGAGACCCGTTATATAAAGTAAATTCCTCTTTTTTTTTTTATTTGAACTTACAATACGTTTTACGAATGGTGGTGCGGATACTGCACTAGACATAGTGCAATTGCCTTAGCTCAATAACAGCTAATTATTTGCTCGAAAATAATTTAAAAGTAAAATGGTTTTAGTGTCATTAAATTACTAAATCAGCTCAGCGAACCGACGACACGAGAGAAAGAAGAAGTCTAGCGAAAATACTTAAATACACAGTTCACAAAGATGGTGATAATAAGTAACTTTGCTTTATTATTATACAACACAATATTGTATCGTTTTGTAGCTTATAAGTAATTTTTAAAAACTAAAAGTTAATCAACAGTCGAGACAACCAATTTTTAGACACGAAACAACTGAAAAAGACTATATTGTAATTATAGATTAAAAAAAAAAACGTACACTTTTAGCTGAAACCGGTTTAGACTTATTGACGACCAATTCCGGCTTGTCGTACCGAACTAAGTTAACTTCGGGCGGAAGAACGCTTTTGGTTTTCATTTTTTTATAAAGATGTAAAAAATCAAGATGTAACAAAATGAAATAACGTTATTGCACGGTGACAATTGTGAAATTTACTGTTATTATTATTAGAATATTGTTAGTATAAACAATGATTTGTGGATGCTATAGAAACACAACTAGGTATAGCAAACCAGATGGTAGTAGGTAGTATTATAACCAGAGCAATAACGACAAGACGTGATAGCCAAATGCCAAAATTCATGTGGAATAAAATTTTGTCTGACTAGAAATTCAACGCCATTAATATAATAATAAATATATTTTTAACGAAATGCCAAGAGTATATTATTATTGTTATGACATATGGAAAAGGGGTTTCGCCTCGCCAAAAAGCCCAAGGCAGGATGACAATTTGACAAAGGGCGAACGACCGGAAAGCAAAAACAGAGGGCAAAAGGATCGGAAAAACCCTAAAATCGATAATAATAATAGTAGTTGTACTGTCGTGTGGCACTTAACCCTATGATTGACTGAGTTTTAGCTACAAGAATATATACAGGGTGTGTCCAGATCAAAGGGTAAAACTTTGAAATCATAAAGCAATACTACAATCATAACCTTCACAACCTCTTGGTCTTTTATGATACACATATATGTGTTGAATTTTAATTGTACTTAAATGTTTATGTTGGTACAATGATTTTTACATTTTGTGTACAAAACTTTATAAATTAAGAATAATTTACTGAAAGTTTTGACTGGCTAATTACCATATTTAAATAATCCATTTCAAAGTTATTTTAGTTGCACAGCATTTAAGACGTGAGGTAGAGTGTGGTTGAGTAATTCGTGCAAATATAAATATAATCTTACATTCCCTGTTCTAATTTTTAAACTTTAAAAATAGTTATTCCATTAATTCCATCAAGTTATTAACCAGTAATAAAAGTTAAGTAAAATATTCTTAGTTTAAAATGTTTATAAAATGTGTACGGTACTACTTGAGTATCAAAAGTTGATAGAACTATGGAATTTGTCAAACAATAATAACATTTAATTATTGTAATAACATAAACTAAAATGTCTTTAAAAGGAAAAACTACAAAGTTATAATTACAGAAAAATAGTGTCTTACGTTAAATGAAAATATTATGTGTACTGATTTTCATAACGGGTTTGTCTTAAAACAAATATAATTATTTGAATAGTTCAAATAAAATGTTACTCTTGATCACTGAAATATGTTTTTAATTAATTAAATTAAAAAAATAATCAAATAAAAAGTTCTTGGGATTCATAATGTAAAAAAAATCTATAAAGTTTAATAAATATATTTTGGATTTTATTGCAAATAAAATGCACAATTCTGTTGTATAATGTAATGTATCAATTTTACATTGAAAACGGTATTTCTTATAACTGTGGTGGCTATAACAAATCCCATCCCCTAGCCCTCCGGATATTATAGCACTGCTTATAAATAAAAACATATATATTATATTTGATATAAATAGCTGTTATACTACCGACTGAAAGCAACACGAGTGGGACACCCTGTGGAATGGCTATTTATATATATATATATATATATCGTATAAATTGTCATAACAATATAATAGCAATATGCGATAAACGTTGTGGCTTATTTGGGCCGTGTAAAGCGACGCTGTGCTTTTTATTTATAAGTTATTCACCCTCTGAGGATCGCTAAAATGTTTGTCAACCGCGATCGACTGCCGCTCTTATTATATACTTACACCACCGCCACCACCGCGGCCACCAACTCCATCGCCACCGCCCTCCTCTTCCTGTTTATTGCGGTTGCCGGTTAGTGTGTATAAATATATATATATATATATATATTATATAATTTAATGGTTGATAATATTATTATATATTTAATATAACGGTATATACAGCTGTAGTTAACGGTCGGTTGCGCGTTACATTCGGCTTGTCAATGCGTCAAACTTGCGGTTTGACTCCATTAACTCCGCGCGGGCCATTTGCATAATACCGATATTCGCCATTTACATTAAACACTGTATATTATTATTATTATTGTTATTAATCTATAAATGTATATAATATCCCACCGTCTGACACGTGAAACGTATTACGGAGTGTATATAATATAGTAATAATAATAATAATAATATGGTAGTGATTTGTGATCGCAGTCCTGCTAAACGTCCCCCGAGTGTTGTGTGCGGTATTGTATTGCTGTGTATTGTCACAGTCATTATATATTTATGTATATATATATATTGTAATTGCAATAATATTATAACGCCATCACAATGCGATTATCATAATAACTCCGGCTAATTGATACCGAAACGACTTTAATTGAAACCGAACGATCCGGAGACAAGACAATATAATATCTTTATTATACTATTGTTTATGTGTATAAAAATATGAGGCAGGGCGGTTGGGGTGACTCTGTTGGTTAGGGGTGCTATCAGCATAATAAAACTGTTGTTAAGTGTATACCACATTTTATTTAATGACGTATAGAATAGAATACACTATACAATCAGTATTCAGTGGACACGCCTTTCCAGGTTCATCGTCTTCGTTAGAGATGATAACTTATGATATAAGGAGTCTGAAGTGTTGAAGATAATATAAATGTTTGATAAAAACATCAGACAATTATAAGGTATTTATAGTTAATTTAGGGTCGTCCTTAGTAATAGAAGTCCAATTTTTTTCTCTAAATATTTTAAGACAAATCCTCCAAATTTGTTTTACGCGTGTAAAAAATAATGAGTTTAAAATTTCGTTATTTCGTTCAATCTTGACCAATCTTGGTCAATCTTAACACTTGCCACAAAAGTGTTAAACATTTAAAATTTGGAGTAGTTTTTCAGTTTTATCTATGTATCTCAAAAACTTATTCTACTTACGAAAAAATGTACAGAAGAACTTTAATTATTAATAATCACATTTCCTATAAAAAAAAACCGTTATTACGAAAATACGCTCAAAAAGAAATTTAACAATGAAAATACTAACTCGGTATTTAACATTTTTTTAAACTCATTACTAACTGAATATCCATTTTATTAGTTATTTTAAAATAAATAATGATTATTCTTTGATGAATAATCCTTTAGAGACAATATTTTATTATGAATATATTGTTATTATTAGAACAAATCTTCATCGATTATCCAAGTAATAATTATATATTTTTAAAGCAAATATTAATAGAATAAACAAAATTTAAGAACGAAATAATATGAATATCCGGTGTACTCGGCTATAGATATAATTATAATTATTATTGTTACATATACATTTATTATTTTTTACCAAAATGATTAGTAAGAAGCTTTGGTATTCAAGTAAAGTCCATATAGTGTATAATGAGACAAGACTGTTTACCGGCACTACATCTATTTGATTAATTTACGAAGAAGATATTCAAGAACTGAAAACAATAAAAATGTTAGGTTAGTTACTCAAAAGGTTTAAAGACAATCACTACAATCAGACAATGTTCTGACAAATTTTAAGTAGTCAAAACCGAGACATTGGCAGATCACTTCGTATTAGCTAGACCGAAAGAAAGAACAATACTCTAGCTAACAGGCGAGGAAAGAATATTGCTGACTACCATAACTCATAAGAGTAAGGAGTATATCGTTAGGGTAACTAATATTAAATTATCTTTTTATAACTAAAATAACGACCGAGAAAGACTTTTGTAGAAGGAATACCGAATATTAGACTAGTCGAATGTAACGGGTACCCCATTATAAATATGGTGACATTCAATGGAGTTAAATGAGGTTCTACATTCGCAACACCAATAGGTATAGTCTTAGATGAAAGACGATTCACGCAAAATAATATAACAGCAATTTTTTATGTTATAGCGGTGGAAATATTTATTTATACCACCTTTGCAATTAATACGTGTATAAAATAAAGGGAGAAGCTTTAAAAATCAAGTTATGATGTTTCCATTAATTCATCGACAATAGTATAGTATTTCATTGCAACAATTTATAATTAAAATTTAATTTATTTTCAATCAATTAAAAAAAAAACAGTTATTTTGACTTTTGGTTTTGAAATAATGTTTTATCTAAATTAAGAGCGAGTGTTTTAAACGTTCTAGTAAACCAAAGGATACAGACGTAATTTTTTACAGACTTTAAAAAATGGGGAACTTATGTATTTGTCAGTGTCACTTATGTTTTTTAAATTATGTGTACGCATTTCTTTATACTTTATGATATAATGTTTTTACTAATTTTGTTGTTTTTTCTAATATGAAATTTTATTTCTATTTTTTACATTAACGAATATGGGGAAAATGTGTTACATTATTCAAGATAATGGGAATGGTTAAAAAAAACATATTTCATCACTTGGAAATATATTAAACGCTGAGTGCAACAATTAAAATACAAAAAACAATTTTGATCATTTTCAAAATTTATCACCATCGTTTCAACTTAACATGAGAAATTATTCTTAATGGTTGGAATTAAAATGTTTAATCCGATCAACTTCAACGGTAAGGAAAAACGCACTTTGAAATATCTTTGTAGAAAACACCTAGTGAGATTTATTTGGTTGTTGCACCAAAAAATAGATAATTTTTCTACGAAAAGAATTCCACGAAAAAATGTATTTAAAAAAAATGGGGATTTTAGGTTGTCGCGTTGATTAAATAGTTTCATAAAATAGTTACCTACAGAAAAGAGGCACAAATAAAATTATACACTTAAATTTGTATACTTGGCACTTTAACCGTTTGAAAAATTCACTCTACAAATATTAATCCCGTTTAACACCATTCCGAATAATTATTTCCAGCAAAATATTTTTTTAAACTTATTAATGCCCTTCCCGATAAAAAATTGACTAATGGTTACCACTTACCGGGTAAAACAAAGGTCAAACGAAAGTTTTTTCGGTTTATCGATTATTCATTTTCGAACTTATCAAACAGAACAATATTATCAAACAAAATAATCGGTGTGGTTTGATTGGGGGCAATTAGGTTTGTCGTTAAGTGTGCAAGTGAACAAAAAAAAATGAAGAAGCACTATTTCTTTCCCCAAACAATTAAAAACTGAAAAAGCGGACTTAATCGAAACTGTTTGGGTGTCACTTAGCGGACATCAAATCCATATTTACTTGATATATACCCACAACAAAAAATATAATCATACAAAATTATACATAACGCAGCGCGCCGCCTGTAATGATGCGTCCTCACTACTCACCCGATGCTGTGCGGCAAATTGATCATGATTGGATTATTACCGCAAGCCAATCAGAGGCCATGCTCCGTGCTTTGGGAGGCGTGGCCACCGGCGGCCGCAACGGCCGGCAGCCAAACTTTTGACGGCCGGTGTCCGCACACGCCGGTACAGCCGTGTCCGCGCCAAGTACTCGCTTGCCCGCCGCCGGAATGTGCTCACTTATCGGTCAAATACGGTAAGCGCCGGGAGTGATTTTTTTTTTTTAAAAGAACAAAATCAAATTTGAAGGATCAAGGATAGGCAAGTACGATTTTTGAAAATAGTATTATTTCCTTTTGAGTCCGGACTTGCCGATCGCACCGAGTAAATCAAAAAGGAAGTGAGTATATTCATATTATGACCGATAACGATCTTGGGAAAATGCTTCCTCAGTATTCTTTTGAAGTTTAATACATATATTGATGATTATAATTTTCATTATTGAAATCCGTTCATAAGTCCATACAAGTAGTTTTTTTTTTTTTTTTTATAATTAAAATGATGCGAATCAAATAAAGTTTAAGGGTCATTTTTTAAAAATAATTTGAACCATTTAATGGACTTTTATTTGAATTTTTGTGTATGATTTATAATTATAATACACTATTTACAAAATAAAAATAATTTCATATCTAACCTATGGTTTAATAGATGAACGCTATACATACCTTCTGAAAACTGTTTTTTAATTTAGCATTGTAGAATATTGGGCATACTAAGATCACCATCAAACATACATACTTAGGCTATTTGAAAAGCACGATAATACTTTATGTTTTACAATATTAGTAGTTTGTTAGTACACCCGTGTGTATTTGCTTGTAGTTTTACTGGGACGACATTTGGATGTCGTAATATCATATTTCCTTACCTTACTCTATGTGTAGTGTTTCTTAATAATTAATTGTGCTGTAATTATTTCGATTTAAGTAGTGTCACTGGATGCCATTTACTCGTCGTTTTTAATTACAACAAATTATAAAAAACTTAATAAAAAAAAGAAAAACTTTTGAGAGTAAAGAAGACACACTCAGCGTATTGACAACATTTGGGTAGCTTGGATGTGCTTAGCACCCTAAAAATTGTTTATGTCCATACCTTAAGTTGACAGCGTGGAGGTGTTTGGTATTTTTGGTGCTTTGCTAATTGCTATACAACTTATAAGGAAGGATTCTTAGATCCTCCGAACTAAAATAAGAGAAAAGAAAAAAAATATCATGAAAATAAGACAACTTGAATCAACATTTCGTAGTTTATTTATACCTACACTATATCGATATTTTTTTGTAACCAATTGAGTGTTTGAGTTGTTTAAGAAATCAATCGACTTTTGGTCATTAGATACGGTCAAAGCGGTTAATGGTAAATCAGTTATCACGAAGAATGCTAGCATCAGGCGCCCCATTTTTAGTTTTTTAACAGTATGGTTGATAGAGGGATGATTTTTTTTTTTGCAACAACGGCAATTTTCCCTTAGTTTATTGATGTGAGATGTCTGTCGTTAAGCATCAACAGCCACAGAGAAACTACAAAAAGCCTATTTTCAAGATAGCCAATTATATATTTAATTCAAAATCCGTTGATATATAGTTAAACATTTATAACTTATTCATGTATATCGTGTGTGTTTGTATTAAAATACAAATTCGAATCTTTCTTGAAGAAATTTTCTGTGAAAAAAAAAAAAAGAAATCCATTTATCCACCCTAAAGCGATTGTGATTTTTTCTGCTTTATTATGTAAAATAATTATTATTCGTTTCGAGCGAATCGATTGGTATTGTGTGTCATTGAACTTAAAAAATTCGCAGTTTAAACGGAAAACGCCGCCGCCGTCTGCGGCTCGTCAAACTTAAGAAAACAACACGGAATTCAAGGAAATTTTCCCGCTGTCGGTTGCAACAACCGCGAGGCGTTTTTATTATATAAACAACTTTTCGAGGAATTCTTTAAATTTCGATTTAACAGGTATAATAGGTAACACCACAGTATGTTACACAGTATTGTGTAACATGAAAAAGTAAATGGTTTACACATCAAATAGGTGTTTGTATTATTTACACTATAGGTATATCGTTGAATTTATACGGTTTACCTACACTTCAAATAGATATTATTATTACTTATATTGATATATCATTAGTCAATATATCATTTTCTTCTTTTTTTTCTCATCTGTACGTCTTACAGCCCATTTGAGACTAACACTCTCTGCGAGCTAAACATGTCTATGTCTAAGTTCACTTCTCATCAAATCCATAGACTGACAGATACGGTCGCTTCAGCATTTGAAAACAATACTGTACTGGGTTATTTCTTGATGTCACACAAGCGTTTGATAGAGTTTGGCACAGTGGGTTACTTTATAAACTGGAATAGAGACCTACTTGTTAAAATAAACAACTTAATAGCATAACTTAATTATACATAATACAGTGGTGTTGCCGATGGGTGGCTTCCTTTTTAAGTTATTCAAGCTTTGTAGTATAATTTTTAAAAAAAATGTATTGTACATATTTTTCTATGGATTGTTTTTTGTAAAATAAAAAAAGTTCACTTCCGCTATTTTTCAGAAACCTGATCATAATAGGTATCAGGTACGCGCTTTAAGGGTTATAAACTTTTACGTTCATAAATCGGGACTAGCTGCTTAAGTTTGACCTTTTCGGTAACGGATTATAATTAATAAAACAATTTTGGATTTCCACCCAGTTTGTAGGTGCTTAAAGTAAATAGGCGATTTTTAATTTTCAAGTTTCGCACTGGACATTTTTATTAATTTGGTGTTTATTATTGTCATTATTGAAGGAGAAAATAATTTAAAATACAAAGATCGTTTGAACGAGGATCAAATAACCTAAATTGTACATCAAGGTTTAATATATTTTCCGGAACAAACATAAACAGATATTCATTTGTTTATTTCACATTTCAAATTTCAATTCAAATTCTTACATAAAAGAAATGTATTTTGGACATTTTGAAAAAAACTATATTTAAAATTTTGCGTAAAATAATTAAGAAAAGAATAGTGTGTTCAAAAAACTTAATCTACGAAATCATGGCACTTCCTAAAAAATAAATTAAATTAAGTTGTATAACTTTAAAAATAAGTCTGGTTGCCAAAATTTGATTTTACCAAAGTACCCTTCTTATTCAGCGTAAAAACTACATATTTTTCGAGTAAATGTTTTTTTTTAAGTCACCAAGAAACTAAATTACACTTATGTCAGAATTTTTTAGTTTTTTCAAAACAAGAGAAAATTTTGATTTTTGTATGTTGTTTACAACTTTTTTGGGGATTTAACAATCTAATGGCCAGATTCAGATTTAGCGAAAACAAAATTCTATAAAATGTATAATATATTTTGGTTATTTTTTCAAAATAGTATACTATAATACAAAATTTACCTATAATATTAAACACGGGTCTACAGCCACTGACTAATATATATTTGTTTGCATTTAGAAAATCAAATAAGCAAATCGAATTAAACGTCAGTTGCATATACAGAGAAAAAATAATGAAACTATACTAAAGCCAGAACAGTGAAGTCTCGGGGCTTAGTGTAGACGGGGAGGTCACAGATCTACCGCAATTATGAGGGTTTATCATCTTTTTTTTGGTTTGTCAATGTTCATCGGTAGTACTATGTTTAAAGAATATTCAGTACAAATTTGGAACTAATTCGACTATTTTTAAAAAAGTTATAAAGCATCGTAATTTAAAGTTGAAAAATATATGGGTGCTTTCTCGATTTTGAAAGAGAAGAGACGATTTTTTTTAATTGTTGGCCAAATATACCAAAGATGGTAAAAACACGGTTTTTTTTTTTTTTGTAATAAAACTACAAAAGACCCGAAACCCAATGGTATTTTTTATGAAATACTACCTGGGGAGTTTAATTGGATTAACCCCGGAAAAACCCCATTCAAAACACAACATTATTTTTTTTTTTTTAATAGATCTCAATCAAAAAATTATAGAGATAACATAATAGTATATATGGTTAAATGTTTTTCTGTGCAGCGGAGAAAATAACTTGTTTTTTTAAAATTATATTATACACATGCCTGGTCTATTATTAATTTAATAGATTATCGTTTTCATCAATATAGGACAAAGTGATGGACACGGATAATCAGCCGTCGTCCGCAGACAACTCGCCGGGGGAACACGAACGTCCGTCAAAGATGGATAAACACCGCCGGGGATTTCAGTCGTTTTCCATAGATTCCCTGATCGGGAACAACGGGGACGCGCCGTCCACGGCCTGCGAGCCACGATTGCTGTCTCGAATCGGCCAGTCTGCGGCCACGATGACGTTGGGAGCGCGCGAAGTCCGGCCGGCGACATCGGCGGCCGCTAGCAGATCGCCGGCAGACGACGAGCGCTCGCCGCAACATGTGCCGCAGCGGCCGATCGAGTGCGGCAACGTCCACAACGACGACGAGGACGACAACGACGACGATGACGGCTTGGCCGCCGAACGACACCGCCAGTTGTCCGCGTTGTTTTACTGCGGCGGATTGTTGCACGGATCCGACCCGGAAACTTCGGCTAGGTTCGGCCACGTCTTCAAAGCGTACCGCCAACAGCGTCCGACGGCGTACATGCCACCGTGGCCGTACTTGTCGGACGCTTTCCCGGGGTATCAAGTCGGCGAGCCGCACCGCATTCAAGCCAGGGGTTCTCGACCCCCTTCGTTCACTGTCGACGAAGATGACGAATGCGCAGTCGTACCTAAATCCACAGCAGACGACAAAGACTTGCTACTGGGAAACCAAACCGCAGGTAGTTTCCCCAACCCTTTCCCCCCGTCCTATGTTTGTCCTATAGAAATCTTATGTTTAAGTTAAGTAGTCCATGGTGCGAAACACCAAGTAGCCTGTAACTCGAACTCGACACCTCTACTACTATGATATGCCTCCAGTGATAGGCAAGATACCAACTTTTGTACTTGAACTATGAAATGCATAAGCGGAATTAGAATATCACATTGGGATGGGCCAACGAGAAAATCAAAATGTACAGTCTCTGGGGCTTCACACCCTCTTTCGACTTTCCTCACTCTGTCAACAAGGAAAAAATATATTCCACAGAAATTACTGATTTATGCACAATTTTATCGACGTTATTGTCGTCATAATTGTCGAGTCAAAAATTATATTTATAGTGTTCATTTTGACGTTACCGAAGTAAACTAACAACTAGCAAATGATTAGAGTATTCAACGAAGGGACCCTATTTATTTTGTCAGAGTTCGCAAAAGTTAGTAGTGACTTAAAAGAGTTCATAATTGCTCGTGTACAAGCAATGCACAGAGTATAAAACAATCTACATAATTTCCCACGAATTGGACACAATGTTACAATTTTCTGGTATAGGTCTGTTGTTTGTTGAGGACATAATATTATGATGTAAAGAATATTAAAAAAATGATAATTTCCATAACACTGGGTGTTAAGTCTTTTACAAAATGTTTCACAATTTACATGACTTGAGGTTGAGATAAATAGTGTAAACATAATACCCCACTCAAGTTCAATAACTTTTTAACTGTTTCACAATTTTTGAAATTTAAAAACTCAAAGTGTTTTTGAGTGGCGTTGCCTTACACAATACAAGTAAAAATGCTGTTTTAATTTAAAAGTTGGCTGTTTTTGTCAAAAATTTACATTGGTGCTTTTAGACCTCAGGTTTCAAAGTGTAAATCGTTGCACAACGACGTTACTTGAGAAAACGAGCACGTTAACTTGCCGAAAAAAACACCACTTAAACCCTTTGTAGGTATATCTAATTTGTAGTGTTATCGGAATAACCCGTGCTAAATTTCGCATCGATAATATTTTTCACCAAACCCATTTTTACAAAGTTTTGTACGACCAATTTTTATTTTATTTTTGTTTTTAATCTCCAGAAAACTGTTTGACCGACGCCGAAGTGCTCCAATTCAACCAAACCGCGTCCACCCAAATTCCAGAAAACAAGTCCCGGAGAAGGAGGACGGCGTTTACCAGTGTACAACTTTTGGAGTTAGAACGCGAATTCCAAGCCAAAAAATATCTTAGCTTGACCGAACGCTCAGAAATTGCCAATGCGCTGAAACTAAGCGAAGTTCAGGTAAAACATTTTAATTGGAAATAACATTCATACTATACATAGCTTTTCTGCTCTTGAAGAAGTCGCGACAATCTAATATTAGGTGTAACTAGATCATCTAGAGGTACAATGTCTTTTGTGAAGAGGTCCATCGACCAACATATGAAATCTGTTGCCTTTTCAGAAGAATACCTAAGTCTACCTTTTGCTTGTAATTTCAACCATAGGTCCGTGCAAATCCAATAATCAATATCATGCAGTATAAATATTCTATAAACAAAAGGTTATACTTAACTACCTTGTCCAAAACTTAAGAGCACCGAAATTAATACCGAATTTATCATTGGCTGTTCGTTATGGAATAATGAATAATAAATAATCGGGAATCCGTCCAAGATACTTCAATGGAGTTCTAATTCCCTGTGGGCCCTTTTCGTGATTGCTTTCTCATATCCAAAACAACAAAGACACAATTAGTGGTTCACACCACTTGTGTTGCTATAGGGTGACGTGTCAGTGACTTCATCGGGTTTGTTGATTTTCAGCCTATATTATGTTTATCTAGGGAACCGTAGTTATATTGAGTAATCTTGTTTTAGCCCCATAACGCTCTGATAAATATTGTCTGTGTAATCGGGATCGGCCTATGCCATTGGTCAACAGTGACACTCGACCGCCGCAAGGTGTTTGTGCGGTACAAACTCTTTTTGTAAGACCGAGCACATGTGTCCAATACCTATGGTATTTATGAACGGTGCACGTGATCGGCGATGGTTAACCCACCGAAACGGACTTTGACAATTAAACGGCGAAAGAAAAATAAATCGGAGAGAGTAGCTTTCAAAAAGTGTATACATACTTGATATGCGACGCTTAGCACAACAAATTCGGAAGAACCGAATGAAATTATTGATCAGTGCTATAGGACAAACAGGTTAGTGGAAAACGGTCATAAAATGGCGAGGAAAATAAGAATATTTTTCAATTTTTCATACGTTTAGCAAGTCCATGTCGCCGAACAACCGTTAAGGAAGTTCTTATTGAATTCAAACGAGATTAAGATGTGTATTTTCATCAAAATTTAATTTGGATACTCGTTTTTGTAAGTGTCCTCCTCAATCGTATCACGTCAGAAACGGTACAATTAAACACCGGTTTGCAATGATTGGGCGTCACTTGCAGCCGGACGTTTATTTATTTCCACCCATTTTTTTCTTCTCCTATAAACTATTATCGGATCACTATGCTACACCAATATAGACTTGGTCTTGGAAATATAAAGCGTGCACCTGAACGTTTACACCTCTAAAAACCCAATATTGACACTCGAGCTGTGCCAAAAATAGTTTTAAAAAGGAAAGGGTCTGTGTACAGTTGTCTAATGTCCAACGCGTGTGACAATGTATATTATTTTGAATGTATATATGTGTATGGTTAATAGGGACGAAAACGACCGAGTCTAGTGGCACAGCACACAAGACCTGGCCGAAATATGACACAAAAACAGGTGATATTTTACCCAGGGAAAACGATTTAGCAATATACAGTAACGCCTCCGAAAAGAATTATAGTCTTTTGGCGGCGGGGCATCGACATTTTACGTTTTACTATATCAAGACAATATTGTTTTATTACATAAATCGGATAGCAGTCTATATTGATTCTTATATTATAGTAAAGGTCTGCTTCGAAAGTCCATACTAACATGTCTAAAGTTCTTACAAAACATTCTTGTACATGAACGACTGCCTATTAGTATATCATATGACTTTGTATACATAATATTGTTACAATCGGCTTACAAGCGTACTTGTTCAATATTTAGGCTTTAAATTATGTGGCAACGTGAAGTCTGCTAATTGAAAACACCCTGATGCGACTCTTTAACGTTTATGCCATAACGCTTTTGCTCCTTTTACAGGAATCCCATTTGAGGAACAGGACACATAAGTCTCCCGGTGTTATTATTAGTTACTATATACCTAGTAGAAAAAATAAGCAATACTTAAACGAGACGATTACGTCTTAAACGATTTACGTCTAGTAAACTCATGTTTTTTTAATTGTAGGTGAAAATCTGGTTCCAAAACCGACGGGCCAAGTGGAAAAGGGTAAAGGCCAGTCTGTTGTCCGCGCCATCGATGCAGACGTCTGCGGTGTGCGTAGGCGGCGGCGGCGACGACGGACACAGGAATGGCGCAAACGGTTCCCGGAGATCCAAGTGCGTAGCCGGCGGAAGTGCCGGCAAAATCGTCGTTCCCATACCGGTGCACGTCAGCAGGTTCGTGGTGAGGAGCAGACATCAGCAGATGGAAAAATGTGCATCCGGGTTTGCACACCTTCGCCACTTACAATGCGGCGGTGGCGGTGGCGGCAACGTAACAAGGGAATCGGCCAAAGCTCAACAGATGCACCCCACCGATTATAATGGATCTCTATAAATACGTCTATCTCGACCGTTCAACAACCATATCAAGTCGTTCAAAACAATGCATAGTTTATGAATATAAGTGTCTGTACACGTTTTTTCGCCAATAAAATGGTTATTAAGAACAAGACTACCTGGAATGTTAAAAAAACAAATTCTAAATTAAACATTTAATAACCTAAAAAAAAAATACCAAGTGAAAATACTAATTAAAAACCTGTAAAAATGAAATTATTAGTATTTTATTGGTTCATGATTTCTTTGTAAATCCATTATTACATACATTTTTTTCGAATAAGTTAATTTATTGTTTTTTATAGTTGGAATAATTAAATACAATCGATGATTTTGAAATCCAATGTTTCAAGTACTTTTATGATGTTTTTTTTTTTGTATTTAATCAATTTCGATGTGCTACAATACTACCTACTCGACTGTTTTCGATTTTGACTTGAGTCCTTTATAAGGTTGGTACGTTAGAATTAATCCTTCCGGAATAAAAAATATCGATAAAAAATGAGTTATAATCTAATTTTTCCAAAAAATAATCTGACTTGACTCTCGTTGTGACCGATCGTACATAATAGATGGATAGGCGTGGAATTCTATTCTATTACACAGTGCATAATGCGCACATTTTGTTTTCATACGGACCTTTGATGGTCGATAAGTTAAGTTACCATACAACTGTGTGACGGAAACACGGCACTTTGATTTCGCTTTAGTGGCACAGTAAAAGAAGCCACCGGGAGAGTGCATTATTATATTATATTATACTATTACAGCGAGAAGAACCGATACAGACTAATAACCGGCCGCGCAGAGTGCAGAAGTGTGCGGTGTGTATTTGAGAATGACACAACGGGGAATTGGAAGAAAAGTAATTTTGGATAACTAATGGGTCCAAATAATGTCGTTAATTCATTGTGTACAGTATATATGTTATATTATATCGTTTGCGGTAGCGAAGGCGTGGCCGGTACATCCTCTGCCGAATGGCCAAAACCCATTAAACTTTAACGCTTCAAAACCAACACAATGCACAAAATCTGTTCCTCTTCCCCAAACACTCTGCGCCCGTTTCTCTTTCCCTGCCACTCGTTTTGGTTTTCCAAACAGGACCCCGTAGTAACGTCTGTTTAATAGTATATATATATATATATATATATGCGCACTTACCGCCTAAGTCCTGCCCAGCAAATTTCTATATCATGATAAAAAAAAAAAATCTTCTCTAGAAAGCAACTGTAATTAAACGGTATAGCGTTATTTCCTCGGATAATAATAGTGGTGTATTTAATTTTTTTTAAAATCAGAGCTGAATTAAAAATTACTTAGATAATAAAGTAGAAAATAGAAGTACACATTTGTTGTACCAATGTAAATACATGTATTTTTATCTATGGGCTACATCTTGAGTTTATTGTCTTTGTACTCGTTGTGTTTCTGAAAATTCAAATGATGGAACTTATCTAAGACATACTGGTTACTGCGTCTGACGGTCTATGTATTCGAAATTGGAAAATATCGGTCGTGTATCCAAAAAGCTACATATCGTGAACAGTTTATTGTTAATTGAATGAAAGATTTAGAGTAGATAAACGAAATTCTAGACAAATCAAAAGCGTCATAATTGGCGTACGGTTATTTGGGTGATTTTGCTGATCCAAGTCGAGCGGATAAAATGCGGCTTATTTGGAAATAAAAAAAATACTGCAATTTGTATTGACTTAGTGACGGTGGCGAGAAAGTGATTACCCAAAAGGGACATTTGCCGTTTACTATTGCCGAGGGACATTGGTAGGGCGTTCCGGAGCGTTTAAATTCTTTTGGTTTATCTGAAATCGTTTTGTCTCTTTAAATAGTGCACACGCCGCAGTCACATATAATATATAAAATAGTTGACAAAATCTTAAAGGGCGCCATTCCAATCGATACACTGACATGGTGTTTGCTACGTGTAATGCAATTAATAGGTGAACGATAAATCTTTGGATAAATCCTAAATATAATCTTTGGCCTTTGAGATTTAACCTTTGGTAAATTTTTTTTGGAACTCCGATGAATGATTGAATCGTCTAAGGAAAAATTAAGAATCCTTTTTTTTGGCCTTAAATCTGATAGGCGTTTTCCGTCCTAATTACCTGTGTTTAATCTAATTTTAGGGCACTCTCGGGACCACAAATTGTCGTTCTTTCCTTACCCTATACACCCATTATTGATAGGACTTTGAAAATCCGATTTTACAAATAAAGATAGATGGTACTTTTTTTTTAAGTCTTGAAAAATGTAATGAACATAAGTCTGAATGGAAGTATTGAGCGGGAAAAATTGTTTAAAATCATTCTGCAATAAGACTTCAATTCGTTCAGTTTTGATTCTTTTCGTGAAAAAAAAATGGTTTATATTTTTTTTATGCTCATCAGACATCAGCAAATTCTATCTGACATGAGTAATTATAAGACTTTTATACCTATGACTAAAATAACGTTATTTTGTGAATAGTCCATTTGTTATGGTTCTGCCCCTAATTACTGGTCTGTTTGTAAATTGTACAGTATGTATATAATATATCCATTAATCGTAAATAAGTAACTAAATATTTTTTTTACTTTATTAGGTTTTATAAAATCGTATATTAGTTTTAATAGTCTTATTTAAACGCACGAGTATGGATAATTTTAAAAGGCAATATTTGACAAAATGTTGATCTAGGTATGACAAATTTTAAAGGAAGGTTGAACAGGTTGATTCGTGATTGTTTAAATCTATTTTTCTACTAACAATACGGCGATTTAAAAAAAGTTTACGGAAAAAACTCATGGTTTCAATACTCATTATTTTTTTTATGCAGGTACAAATATATTTTATATTAGTACCTAATTGAAAAAATAATTAAAACTTGAAAACAATTTTACAATTTTAGTTTTTTAATTACTCAACTATTGAAATTAGAAATGCAGTAAATATGTTAATAGGTGTTTACAATTAATAGCGTAAGTAAGAATCCCAATTTTCGGGGTGCGTGCAAAAAACTATTTTCAAAATACAAACAATGGGCGATTTTTTCTGTAAAACGGGCTGATATCACTGAACTGAATACAATGTCTTATCAGCTATCGAGTTGCACTCAGCTGGCCTATGGTGTTGATAAGAAAAGGACCGCGGCTGTTCTTAACTGATAACGCCACACGTGGACACTGGACATTATAATTTATACTATTCACACGAAACGACATTAACCATATTTCTGATTTCAATTATTTAAACTTTTTATTTTTATTTACTCAATTGTAATAACTGATCAATAATAAAATAGTTCTAACTTTATGATATATTTACATGAGAACGATTCAAAATGATACCGCCAAAAGGCTATTGTGATTTACGCGTCGAAAAAATCAACAAAGATATAATTAATGCATATGTTGCACGTAAGTAAATGATTGTACCTATTATGCTGTAACCATTATTGTAAGTTTAGTTTACAGTGATATTGTTTGATTTTCAGTCGGTTATAATATGATCGCTGTGAATACCACGCTTGATTCGTTCTCATTAGACAGTGGTGTATCGAATAGAAAAAAACGTAAGAAACTCGAAAACACTGACAATGATAGTACTCAACAGGACTGTATACCACCCATTAAACCCATAGTAGGTTTTGCTAATATATTTACTTAATTACTTCTCAAGTGCCATGATTACACATTGAAGTATGTCTACGGCAGGACATATTTTCCGAAACACTACCATTCATGTCCTGGCACACAATACTTCCAGTTATAATAATTCCCACAGACTTGTGTCATTTCTATCGCCAGCACGCTCCGTCTCCATTGTGCCCCGACCATACTGTGCTAGTATTTTTTATATTACTTACTACTACTATAATTTTTTTTTTGTTTTTTTTTAGGAAAATGATTCAAATTTAGTTATACTTAATCGGTTAACGATAAAATTGGCAAATCCTGGACAATTTCAAAAACTTGTAAGTAAAAAAAAAAAACATTTTTACTGTGGTAGGTGTTTAAAAATGAAAGTAAAATGAATAATGTTTAACTAATGATCTACCTATCTTATGACTCATATCTATCGTATGACTAACTAATAATGTTTTAAATGTTTAGTCGAGTTCAAAAAATTTCAAATCGTACGATATAATGGCCGTAGAACCACTTAACGAACAAGTTTGTCAAGTAAAGTGTTATTGTGTATACTAAATAATAGCTTGTGTGTTCTAATAATTAATCCATAAATGATTGCCAATGATTGTTCCATAAACAAATCTGTAACTTGGGTCTAAAAAGGGCCAATGCCAATTATTGCCGCCAACTAGTTAATTCATTTTCATATGAAAATTAAAACATACTATTTGCTGTAGCCTCGTGGAAAATAAAAACTTAAAAGCTCATTTACCGAAAGTTACAAAAAGTGTGATTGGCCCTTTCAGTCCCAAGGTACAAAAATATTTATAATTTCGAACATTGACATCATCTTTTACAGGAAATAATTACTTCGCAACTAGTCGACATAATTGTGTGTAATGTAAAAAATGGCGTGATCTCTGCCAAAGGCTATAAAGTTGCAGTGGACAAAAATATACATTTTGAACTTTGCTACGGACCCATGGTCAACGGTTATTTCATGCGACAAGATACCATAACCCTTGCTCACATGCTGCACATGAAGGGAAAATCAAAAGTAAATAATACACGATTTATAATATGTCATCAATGATTATTTTCTTGTTATAAACCTTTTGTTTGATTTTTAATACGATTTCAGAATATTATCGTTTCGAGTGGAGCCAACGTGAAGACCGATATTCGCAATCCGCATGACATCATAAATCTGTATCCTTTTGATCGGAAAACGTTAACTCTATGTAATATGACTATTGTTGTAATCTTTGGGTCGTATTAGATTTGTAAGTGAAATGTTTATATTTGCCTTTACTCTACCGATGCAGAGGATTGCTGTTGGGCCTTTCGAACAAGCAGTCAAAGGACTCGGTTACTGAAAATTGTCATTTAGTTATTCTGAAAAGCTGTAAGTTTTTTTGTAACATATCATGTTATTGCTTGTTGTTATTCGCTAAGTGGAAATAAACCTTTTTTTTTTTTTAGATGGAAGAAAGTTAGGAAAATCGGCAATAAATGTTATACCGATCAATGATAGAGAACAGAAGACCGTACAAGCATCCAAAGTTAAACTGTGATAATAATTACATTACGAGTATTATTGTAATTATTAATGTTATTATCAGTAATTAATTGATGATCATTTATTAATTATTAACGTGTAATATTTCTCAGACGGCATCATCAGCTGGCATGAAATCAACATCAGCAAACATGTATAAGTTTGATGCCGCTGATGTTGACAAACCGTATTTATTTTCTGTTATTTCAATCTATATACAATGATAATAGATAAAATAAATATATTTTTAATTTTGATAATTAAAAAAGACTAAGTTTTTGATGTTAGATATTGTATACGCGTTTAATTGTATTAAATAATGTATGCATATATTTTACAATGTGTTATTATAATTTTTTTGTGTGTATGTATTACTTTTTTTATTATTTTTTTGTCTGGACCACGATATATCCTTAGCCGCTAAACCGATTTCTTTGTGTAGCAAATCTTAAGGTCGAAAATTATTCTTTAAAGGTATTTTTTTTTGACAAAAAATGTATTAAAAATGCACTTATTAATAACAATACAGCGACTAATTAATTAAGCAGCTAACAAATCTAAAAATAAACTGCATATCTATTGCACTCGATGACCTAATACTCAATTTGAAATACCCTACATAGAATGGCTGCGTATAAACCATTTATGCTTTGTATTATACACATAAAAAAAATCGTCCGTATTCTCATTCAATATCGTCTACTTTAACAACCAACGTATATCAAGATAATACTGCATTGGTTTTTTTTTTACAATTGTTAAGAAACTCACCATATACCAGCGTAGGATTGCATCGTATATATAAAACCAGCTGTTTTGATCTTGTGAAAAAAGTTCAAAACAAATTATTTTGATTATATAATAGTACCACTTAATATCTACTATAATTAATAACCGTTTTTAGGTCATAACACTGGTAAAAAACATTTATTATGGAATTAGGAGACATATTATTTTTTACACAATCATATCAAATAGCTTGTTTAAAGAACCACCTAAATTCCTTCATTTGTATTGAGTTATTATATGTAAGATATGTTTATTTGAATTAGGTTTAAATCTTCATTTACTTAGGAATACGAAAATCGAAACGATTTTTACGTTAACTAGAATTATTGCAATATAATATTATTGACGTTTCTTCAGTGTGGTTACGAAATTTAGTTTTATTCATGTCCATGCAACTGAAAACCCGTAGACAGTACCCCATACAGCATACTACATAGTAGTAAACACCACTATGGGGAAATAATAATACATACGAATTATTTTTGTAGGTTTTGTTATCAAAATATGTTATTGTAGCTAGGTAATTATTGTACTTTAGACTTCCAGTAGATTTTCTAAGGTCAGTCAATTTACAGCAAGTACATTATGTGTAAATATGTGCCGACTGCCGGGCAATGTTGATTTTGTACAAGATATTTTCAATGTATTATAATAATATGTATTGCTTGAATTTTGATTGATTAAAATATTTATTTTATATTGTAATATTTTTCAACAATTCCACTCGGTCAACGGTGTTGTCAGTTGTGCAACAGCTGTTATCAGTATTCCGTGACAACATTGAATATAGGTATGTGGGCAACTAGTGTTATCAATTTTTACTAGAACAATATCAGCTGTTAATCTGTGTTGTAATATGGCCGCCGAGTTTCTACCGAAGGAACGGCTAAACGGACGCCTAGAAAACCTATCGGTTATCACAAGTTGCAGTCCATAGAGAGTAATAATTATTAATCCATGTTGCCGACACACCTGTTTATCTCGATCCGCGGTTATCACCGTGTGTGTAATGAAAAAAAAAGCCTCGATAATGCAAGTCCAAGGAACTCGTTTTCTGTTCGCCGCGTCTGTGCATTTCCGTTTGGCAATAACAGCACTCGCTTGTGGCCGCGTATGACATTGTGGTAATTAATAAATTTTCATTTCAACAGAGGGCAGGTGATTTCGCGCACTCGGCCGCATAATATTCTTTTTTAGATAGTTTACAGTTTCGATACGCGCGCACCACACAATGTCGTTGTGCAGACTTGTTGGCATTTCCAACGAGATGTCTTTGGCCAATATCAAACGCGCCTTGACCACTGGTAAGAAACCGCGAAAACAAAACATCAAAAAAACCATTTATCCGTAAACTCATAAACCGTCTTGTTTTGTTTGTTGTCGCTTTGATTTGTGCACATTTTCCCGTAAGCCGGTCTCGCACCGACAACGTACCGACCCAAGTCGCAAGGACAATTGTTATTATAATCTAAATGTATAGGCTTTTTTTTTTTTTTTTGAGTACTAATATAGTTGGGAACTCTGTAAAAAGTAGTGATCTATTTATAGAGCTGACAATTTATGTTTTATACAATCACTTGACTAATAAATTAAATAATTAATTTGATTCCTGTTTGTGTTTGAAAAATTTTCTGTTCACATAAATGTTGTCAAGGATAGCTAACCAGGAAATGCACGTTTCTAATATTATACTATCATTTTATAATAATAGAAATAATTAAAAGATAATACGAATTATAACTCATAAATATTTTCTTTTAATTATTTCATTTTAATTACTTCGGTGTGTCATATCATATTATCTAAGCCTGCCCACCTGTAACTTGTAATATATAAAAACGGAAATTGCGCATTCAGTACTTTAGGGGCTGTGACAGGACCGAATTCACTAAACTTTCAATAAAATGAAAAAAATACAGTAGAATAATATTATATCTGTGCTTAAGTGTGGTCATTTGATGATATATTGAATAATTTTTTTTCTATGATTTTTTAAAATTCAGGTTTTTTTTTTTTTAAATAAAATATTATTAAAAATTTCCCGATTAAGTTTTCGAAAATTGTAAGCGCACAGATAAAGTTCTCCTCTATTTACTATCAACATTATGGTGATTTTATGACAGTTTTAACAAGTAATAGTCTGACTAAAAAACTTAACAGTTATTGAAGATACCTCACAATATTGTATTAAAAAATATATAAACATTTTGCACACAAATTCCATTTGAATATTGATTTTTAAATTTTAACCAAACAGTAACTGCTCTAGTCCCTGAAATATAATTTGTTAGTTATTGTAAATAACCTTATCATGTAACTAGGACATATGATCGACATATCTTGGCTACATTTCAATGTTACAATCACTATAACATTATACGACCTAATTATCGTTGTTGAATTATCAATCTTTTTTTTTCTTTCAGAGTTAGCGAAAAATGCCATCAAATGTTTGGTTTTTACCCAAAAAATATGGGTTTAATTAGGTGTGTGTCCATTAAAACTTTATTGGGTATAATTTTTAAATAAACCAACATTTTGGCAAATTCTGTTTTTTTCATTGGAATTAATAGGGATTGCTCTTAAACAATTCTCGTTGCAGTAGCAATTTCCAATGCTGTTACTCTAGCGATTTGAATATATTACATTTTTACCAAAATTACAGACAACATTTATTTTACAATAATTTTTGTTTCTCAAGTCAACGATTGTAGCAATGAAATAATAATAATAAGAAATTATTTCATAACGTTCTTAGGTGTGCAAAAGAAAATATTCATAAAGTTTAACGATGTATTGAAGATTTTTTTTTTTTTCCAATATCTGTTATCTGTTGATTGTGGAATCTATTACGGTACCGTTTTCAATGTACGACTTTTGTCGAAAAATACCCATTGTTTTTTTCGATCTAAGGTAAATCCTACAATTGTATACCATTCTATAGTAAATAATGTGATTTAGTTAACCCGTTATTATGTATATTAGACGGTATCTATACCATGCAAGCCATATTGATTCTGTATCAAAACAATATTGTTTTCAGTTTGTAGTTAAAAAAAACTTAGTTGTAAAATGTAGTTGACCCGCTGGCAATTGGTTACATCATAATGTATATTGTTCAATTATTTACGTCTTAAAATCAATACCAATAGAATTTCGTAAAATTTCAAACGTAATTGTAGTTTTTTATCGTTAAAGATAAAAGATAAAGATATTAAAGTAGATAAACACGTAACAAAATGTATAAATGTATAAATCTGTTACTAACACAACTATTCAATATATTTTAACACCAATTATTTATAACTGCTTTATTGTGTACGTATTAGCTATATTAATTATTAGTTAACGATATTAGTTTATCCTTTTGGTGTTTAGTTAACATTGTAATAGTTTGTCGACAAAAAATTGTTATAAAAACATTTAATTGCGTAAATTACTTACTAAATACCACTAATACGCGTAAATTTTGTTTTTTCCAGGTCAAAGATTATTTAGCCAAAATGTTCAACATACTTCAACCAAAGTTGTTGACAACATTTTAGTCATAACATTGAACACGCCCAATTCAAAGGTAAATTGTACAGTAAAAATATATCCGAGCACAATTGCGTTATTATTATTTTAATTATAATGTTATTTTTATTTTATTATTATTTTAATTTTATTTTAGGTCAATTCACTGTCTGAGGATGTAATGAACGAATTACAAGCCAATTTAAATAAGGCCACTCAAGATCCGGCAATCAAAGGCAGCGTTATTATATCAGGAAAACCGAATTGTTTTATCGCCGGCGCTGATATATCAATGTTGCAAGCTTGCCGCACAGCCGAAGAAGTACACAAGATTTCTCAGGCCGGTCAGAATATGCTTTTCCAAGTCGAGAGATCTTCGAAACCCATTGTAGCCGCCATCATGGGTTCGTGTTTGGGAGGAGGCCTCGAAGTAAGACTTTTCTCTACCTACCTTTGGTGTACCAATCGCTGGCCCTTAGAGTAAAAAAAAAAAGGTTCTCGATGCAATTTGTATTCGTCGTGTATTTTATACACATTTTGGATACAAACAAATTAACATTCCCCCCCCCCCCCCATAAGTTGGATGTTGAATTAATTTCAATTTGTTGATAATTTCCCGCGATATAGAGAATGTAAAAAATGTTGAAACACATAAAAATAACCACACCGAGAGTGTAACCGAGAAGTATAAATGAAATTGTAATTTTTTTTCAACAAATTTAAATAGCAAACAAGTAATTTTAAATAACAAGCGCTTGAAACGATAAAACAAAAAGTTCTATCTAATAAAATTAATTTTTCTTATTGAATGAAAATGTTTTACACGTGAAACGTTTTAATGCTCCCAACATTATGTATTTTAGTGTATTATTATTGACTCGGTCAATAATTACAAATTCCATGATGAGTAGTGTTCTTGATACTACTTATAGAAGATAAACATTATAAATACTATTTGATGCAGTTTTCGTATTTTAGTACTACAGAAAATATAATAATTTGTTTGTTTAATTAAATTAATTAAAAACACTTTGTTGAAAAATTGTAAATAATTACCAACGTGTTTTAGGTGGCTTTAGCGTGTCATTATCGTATTGGTGTCAAGAGCAAAAGTACCGCACTCGCATTGCCCGAAGTAATGTTAGGCCTTCTGCCTGGCGCCGGCGGTACCCAACGTTTGCCCAAACTCGTGTCCCTTCCCACCGTTTTGGACATGGCTTTGACGGGTAAATCGTACAGGGCCGATAAAGCGTTGAAAGTTGGTTTAATCGATCAACTCGTCACTCCTCTCGGGCCCGGTACAAACACACCAAACGAAAGGTCTGTTTGTTAAATTTTTTTTATTTTTTTTAATGCATTTATATCTGTCGTGTATGTGGTGTTTTGTTATTATTTTGTTTGTCCATTATGATTTACGCAGAACGCTGGAGTATTTAGAAGAAGTAGCTATTGACGCGGCCAAACAAATAGTTTCGGGAAGTAAAAAAATAAAAAGGAACAAAAACAAGACGTTGGTCGATAGCGCTATTGATTTGGGCATTAAAAACGAATGGATCCGAGAGAAATTCTTTGAAAGTACCAAAAACAAAGTCGAGAAAATGACCAGGGGCCTATACCCAGCTCCGTTGAAAGTAAGTAATTATTGATGAGCTAACTGTTGGCTAAATGTATTCCACGCGATTAACTCACGCTGTTGTAATTGTTAGATATTAGACGTGATTAAAACTGGAATTTCTCAAGGGAACACCAAAGGGTACGCTGCCGAAAGCCAAGGCTTTGCCGACTTGGCTATGACGCCACAAAGTAAGGGATTAATTGGACTGTTCAAAGGTCAGACTGAATGTAAAAAGAATAGATTTGGCGATCCCAAAACAAAGATCCAGTAAGTTCTTCGTCTCGGGGGGGCCAACTATTTGTTAGGTCCAACTGTATGGAATCACTGTAAATGTGACTGTGATGTGTCCAACACATTTGCATTTATGTCTTTTTTGACTTGTGCTCTGACGACTTTATGATTTTTACAAACAGGAACGTCGGTGTTCTTGGCGCTGGTTTGATGGGCGCCGGTATTGCCCACGTAACTGTCGATAAAGGCTACCAAGTGGTTCTCAAGGACGCAAACGACAAAGGCTTGGCTAGGGGTATCGCTCAAATTGAAAAAGGACTGTCGGGTGCGGTGAAACGCAAGAAGATGTCTGCGTATGTGTTTTTTCGAGTGACTTAAACATAGTATCTATGATCGATCATCTAAATTTTCGATTCCTTTTTTTTTTTTTCATTACAGGATAGAAAAAGACAGGTACATGTCCGATTTGACGAGTACGTTATCGTACGATTCTTTCTCAAAAGCAGATATCGTCATTGAAGCCGTATTTGAAAATATAAACATTAAACATCAAGTGATCAAAGAACTCGAACAAGTCGTACCCAAACACTGTATAATAGCCACCAACACTAGCGCTATTCCCATCGCCAAAATAGCCGCTGGCAGTAGTCGCCCTGAAAATGTAAGTTAAACAATACATATATAGATATTGTATGAGACATATGTATATATATATTGTATAGGACATATTTATATATATATATAGACATTGGAATGTAACACATTAATAGAAAAATTCTATATTGTTTTTTAATACAATTGAAACTCGTCTTTAGGTAATCGGAATGCATTACTTCTCGCCAGTAGACAAAATGCAACTTTTGGAAATCATAACGACTGAGAAGACATCGAAAGAAACATCAGCTGCTGCTGTTTCTTTGGGTTTGAAACAAGGAAAAATTGTTATCGTCGTCAAGGATGGCCCAGGATTTTACACTACTCGTATTTTGAGCACAATGTTGTCAGAAGCGATACGTTTGTTACAGGTGCATACATGAATAATATTTCTTGCATCATACAACACTTCTACGTCTTGCACAGTTAAATAGGGTTTTTGTTTTTGTACAATTGTTTGAAGCTTTTACAGTTTTTAGTTGATCATTATTAAACAATTTTTGTTTATATCTGATGACACATTCCAGTGTCCATCTTCTGCTGAACTATCAAATAACTACTGTTCACTGTCAGATGTCTAAACTACCGAATAGGACAGTGAACATAGCAGTTTAGCTGTTCAGCGGACTTTTTTGGAGATGGACACTGAAACGTCGTCTAATTATACCAAAAATCAAACATTTGTAGACATTTCATACACAATTCATAGAATTTGAGTTACAAGTTTTACCGACATACATTTTTCATAGGAAGGAGTAAGTCCCAAAAAATTGGATAGTATTACGAAAAGTTTTGGCTTCCCGGTTGGTGCAGCTACGTTGACCGATGAAGTGGGAGTGGACGTCGGTTTCCATATTGCCACTGATTTATCGAAAGCCTTCGGTGCACGGCTTGACGGTGGAGATCTCAAATTTGTAAAAAGTATGGTGGACGGAGGATTTTTGGGTGAGTTCATTGTTTTGTTTTTTTTTTTCATTTCCAAAACTCATTAACCTACTTATGCGGCTCAGCTGAGAATAATAATAACTAAATTTCTATTAGGCCGTAAATCGGGAAGCGGTTATTTCGTGTACAAGGCCAACTCAAAAAGTAGACCGGAAAACGATGAAGTTATCTCGTTGTTAGAAAAATTCAAGATGGAACCGAAAGGCGAACAGACTGTTGAAAATCAACAGCTACGTATGGTGTCCAGATTCGTCAACGAAGCCGTTCTGTGTCTGGAAGAATCTATCCTTAATAGTCCGGTACAAACTATATAATATTATATTGTGTAAAACTGAATTCTGTTTTCTCGAGGTGGCAAACGACACGAGTGTGTCTAAACTGTAAATTGAAATTTCGTGTATTATTTTAGTTTGAAATAATGAATTTTCATTATTGATACCGACAAGTTGGTTTCAAGTAGCATCTATTGGCAAAAACTACGAGATTTAAGTTTAACATATTGCGCTCAAAATTTGTATACAATTATTTTGTTGTTGAAATTAAATTTGACGAGTCTATAATATCATCTCATTGTTTCCCGCGACACTGCCACTGGATTTTGCTAAATGTTACTGATATTATTATTTTTTTTTTTTAATTATCAAAAGTTATAATATTATATATTATTAGTACAAGTGTTATTTTAGATTTTATTTTCCTTAGACATACAAAGCAAACCTATTGTACTTTTATTTGAACAAATATCTAATTAATAATTTCCAATACATTTTTCATCAGTAAAAAAAAATGAAACCTTTTTTAAATGCAATTTAAATTTCAACATTAACCCGTTTAGTCGTAAATTGTATTTTAACTAAATTTTAAATTTTAAAATTAAAATAAATATCTATAAAGTTTACACGAAAAAATAGATGTTTCATATTTTTGGGACACTATGACAGAAAAGAAATAGCTAATGGTAAATAACAATATGAAACACTAAAAAGCGAACATTCAACCAGCCTTGTCTGAAAATTGTTACTAAACTTATGTTTTAATATCAAATTTTTTACCATAAAATAACTCATAGAGTGTTATAAGCAACACTTGTTAATCGATAGTATTGCTTTTGTCAATAGAATACTGTTTGACTATTCATAATTGATATGCATGCTAATAGCTAATAATTATCGAATAATATTTTTTATATTGACGTTAATATTTTTATTACATATTATTTTAGGTCGACGGTGATATCGGAGCCGTATTCGGTTTAGGGTTTCCGCCGTTCTCGGGCGGTCCATTCAGATGGGTCGATTGGTATGGTGCCGACAAGCTCGTTGCGAAAATGCAGACATTCCAAAACGATTACGGCGCACCTTTCCAACCATGTCAACTACTGTTGGACCACGCTAAGGATACATCCAAAAAATTTTATCCATCGTAAAAGACTTATCGTCGTAAACTATCGACTAGGGAATCAAACAACACTGGATCAGTTTTACGAATTTTGTTCTACATATAATATAATATAGTTGGAATTACTCGCTAAGAATTTATAGATAATATACTTACAGAATTCTTTATTTTTTTAATTGTTGGTGATTCAAATGTAATATTATCATTATATATTTATTATTATTATTATTACTTTATGTATTTATTATAGTTTTGTTTGAATACGGTTTAATATAAGAACACATATATATATATATATATATATATATATTTAAAATGAAACTCATAAATTACTAATTTATAGGGACTCGTTAAAATCACACAATTTATGATCGACAATGGTGCTAATTAACCATTAACCACACTCGTGAATTGTTTTGTACACCAAACTTTTATAAATATTAATAAATACACCGCGAGTGGTAATAATTGAAAAAAAAAAATATTGCGTCAAGTTGAGGGTTAACAAAATCTGTTCAAAAGTTGAAAACTGGTCAAAAAATGTATAATTATGAACTCTTTCCCAAAAGGTCCAGCCAAATTTGAAAGTATGAATAAATGTAATAATTTTATATTGCATTCATGGAACAGTGACAGCCCACTTAATGATATTGACTCTTCTAGTAAATATAAAATCCGGGTGCTTCTAAACATATATCGAATAAATGTGTTTTGAAATATGGTTAGTGTCGTTCTGTTTGGTTTCATGTCACAACTGCATTCGCACCAGGATTTTTCTAAACAAATTTTAAATAATGCCATATATCCCCCTTACATTGTGTTATGACATTTAAAAAAAAAAATTCGCAAAAACATAAATACAATACAACACACTACATACGATTGAATAAAATTCAGTAAATATAATAATAATATTAATATTAAAATGTGTAACATGTAAATTGTAATAATAACAACTAGGTATCCACGCAAATTTTACATTGAAACCCAGGCCAACAGCATATCCATGGTGTTATTAATTGTAGATATTGAACAAAATCTATACTATTTGAATTTTCACAACCACATAAAAGCAGGGAATATAATAACGCGGCTCAACTAGAAGACTGCACTTTAAACTCGAAACCGGTAAAAATGTTACACGTGACGTTTCTGAAATAACCGGTTCAAACTGAGGTTTTTTTTTTGTTCTACTTACGCCCCCACTAACAATAAATCATTTTTTGTGTAGTTTATTTAATTAAGGTAGACTGTAGTCTGTACTATATACTACCTAATACCTATACTATACACTATTAACTATATGTTATGTCATGTCATCATAACCGTAACGTACCTAAAGTTTAAAAAAAATGTTGTCCACAAAAAAACGGCTTTTTTATAGCACACTATGCAATTATCTTGAAAATATTTTTTTTTATTAATTGTCGATTAATTAAATTTAAAAAAAAATAAAGGGATCGTGAAAACGACAAGCGGTCCGCACGGTGGAAATTGTTCGCGGACGTAATGTCATGTGGTCCGCGATCTCCATTTACCGTGGACCGGATCGACGGCAGCTGCGCGTACGCAAGTCACGCAACGGGCCCGTCAAGGTAAAGTGCGCCCCGTGCCGCAGGGATGCCGAGGACGTCGAATGGCAGAGGGCGGAAGGAGTGTGGGCTCATACTCCCCTTCCGTCCACCGGCTCCCGACACCGACGTGCACCACCCGCCTTGGCCACGAGAGCTGGTCACTTTATCTCCCGCTACGTGCCGTCTACTTACGCACGCCAGCAGGCCCATAGTGGCGTGTGGCCTTAACCGGAGGGGAGAAGAGTTGGGGGGGGGAATTTGAATACCGCCTCCCGGCACACGCTCGCCTCGTGGCGAATCGAATGCGCGTCCCGTTGTCGATTTCTGCCTCGATTCAGGGTTTCCCAAATCGTCGACGTGCCTACCAACGGCACCGATCCCATCGGAGAGCCTGGAGCGAGATGTCCCTTTTATAGTACGCGACCGGCGAAAACGATCACATGCGAGACGCGGCCGCCGACGGTCTATCTTTAGCCGCCGCCGCCGTCAACAGTGTTGCCGCGTAGATGGCGCCATTGATTTCAGCGTTGCGACAATTAAGAATTTCCGTTGCGTGGGAGTAAAATATTTTGCTCCGTCGAGCCGACAAAGCTATACGTAGTTTCCTGGAAGTTGTTGCTAATATCGGGGTGGGAATAAGATTATATAATAATATACATATATGTACTGTAATCGAAAACAGAACTACTTGGCATTTTGTCCATTGATATACGTGTGTTTGCCTGTACAATTCTTATGTCCGTCAAAACATTAGCTGTACACGGTGCCGTGCTAACTGTCATTGACGCAATCATATATGTCGCCCCTTTCAAACGTGTATTCATATTTTTTTGACAACCCTAAATTTGGTGGTGCCTTTGACACCCTAAGACCCCTGGCCCCGTCGCCACCCCCTTAGCACGGTCCTGCCCTATTGGCTACTAGAACTGATTCCATAGGAAATTTGCTGCTCGGGTGCTTGTTCGGTTTAGGTCTTGTTCGCGATGACGTTAATCACAACTTGCGGTTTTGCCACGATTGCTATTATGATTATGATACAAAGCGTATTATTTTACTGCTTGGGTTCAAACTTAAATAGTGTACAATAACATCATTGTTCCATCGTGGACGAATGAACGAATTCAACAAAAGTGTACTCGTTTTATATGTGCTCTGGATGAAGCCAACGCCGCAGTCAGATCGAGTAACCTGCGTCCGAGTTGAGAAGCACATTTTAAGCACACGCGGCGTACTTAGGTACGTGGCTGACCGATAACGCGAGTATCAGAACTGGGTCAGGTGTAGGTATAGTAATAATTGTATACGTGCAGTGATTGTCATTTGATACAGCGCTGTAGATTGTTGTCGAGAAAGATCATGTGTTTTCTTAGTACCTACTTAATCCGGCGTATGCGATATCTCTGCGTGCCGTGTGGATTTTTATGACTATTAGCAAAGCGAAATGCCCCGTTTACTGGTTTACTGTGGGCAACAACGATATGCGAGATTACCTACCTCGGCAGCTCGGTCGAAATCGTGTTGGTATTGTTGTGTCGTGTGCTCAAGTCCCCCGACTTGAATAGACAATCGAATGCGCATAATAATATTGTGAAAAGAGAAAGCGCCCGACAAGTGCAAGGTCGGTTCAAATGTGTTTTACGCCAGAGGTCCAAAGAATTTACATACCCACGACAAATGGGTATACTGTTAATGCGAACATATTATTATAATTGTCGGTAAGTACAACGTTAGCCGCCGTCGTCGTCCGGTTTAAGTATATGGTCGGCCAATATTTTCAGATAGGATATTATCCATTAGCCGCCACGTCCGCATTGTAGGTACTCGTATTGAAAATAATTATAATACGACGGTCAAACGAAAGAAAGTAGTCGCAGTGACTACAATATTTACTACAGTGGCTCGTTACAACAATCGAGGATTTATAATACATAAAAAGGGACGGCGGTAATGCAAATATTATAATATGTCTGTTTTATTTTTAAAGTTATTACGACCGGGCAATAAAAAAGTGAAAACGGCAAAACCATCAGACCCCACCACTGTTGAAAATTACAACACCGATCCGGCTATGTACGCTGTGATTACGATGGAATGTGCGACTGTAGCCGACAACGCTAGAATTTTTGGAAAATCATAGGAAACTACAAAAAAAAAAAAATCAGTACTTAAAATAACGTGTACGGAAAAAATGTTGGTGAAAAATTGTTAGGTGAAATAAACTCGCGTGCAGTAATAGTGTATAGGTATTTTGTATAGCTACTAAATTGCAGTGTGCCACTCGGAGTAGTTCAAATGTTTAAACGGTTATAGAACGTTACATTTATACAGTTGTATAAAAACTAATGTACAAAATTGAAAAAAGGTCGAGTTAAAAAAAAAAAAAAAAAATTTCAATAACAAATTACCTGTAAAAGTTAAAGCCGATAAAAAACTTTTATAAAAAAAAAAAAACACAGGTACATGAAAGTGTATTGAAAAAAAAAATGCAAAAGTAAAAGCTAAAAGTATAACTATTACTTTTTTGAAATGTAATTCTTCAACTGTTAAATTCTAGCCATGATTGAAATTTTTAAGCAACAGCTTCATCAGAGACTAGAAAATATATTATCAGTATTAAATTAATTTAATTTTAATCAACGTTTAATATAAATAAAAATATAGTACCTATCAATAATACAATTTTGATCTTTCAAGGTTGACCTTTAGTCGAAAATTTGGGTAAAAATAATTCTATTTTCCAGTTAAATCAGATTTTAAACATTTCAGCGACGTCGGATGTCCCGTGACTTATGGTTTTACCAATTTTCGTATGAAACAATAACTGTATGCAATTCATCAACATCACTTTTGCCGAGGTCACAATTAACACAATGGCCGTCGTCCGATGATTTACCTTGGTTTGATTTATTGAGAGTCTTCCGGAGATGATCGCTATAATATAAGTGTACAATATAGTAAGTAACATAACGCATTCGAGTGAGTGGTGACCTAAATTAATCGATTTCCTGTGTTTACGCAGTTTATATTTCATAATTTTTCAGTTGTTGTAAAAAAGAAGCACACGGGAAAAACTGCGCCTAGTGCCTATTAGACGCTGTTATTATACCTATATATTATAATATAGTATAGACTATAGACTATAGTGACATAAATAAAGAACTGAGAATCCAGTGTCAACGCGTATACTGCCCACGACAACATGATGATATTAAGTAGTTTTCATAAGTATAGTAATAATAATTAGTAGTAGGTATACCTACTAGTATTACTGCACTTATATTATGTCCATTGTCCCGGAATGCCTATCGCGTTGATCGAGTTTCAATATGTTTCCGTTTGGTCAACATTTAAGCACTCTAAACAGCACTAGGTATTTTTTAACAAAGTATAATATGCACTTTTCAACTGATAAATATTTGTTTTTGAATTTCGAGCGTAACAGAACTTTTTTTAGGATTTATTACAACCATTAAAATGATAGTTTTGGGAAAAATGCACACATATCTGTTTGGGGCAAAAACCCCTCCGTTTTTGGCGAAATTTCGCCACTAAATTTTCGTCTCTTCTTCTCCGTTATTGGACAACTGGTTAGGTTTTAACGAGACGATTTTATTACACTCATTTTCACAAGAAAACATCAATGAAACGTTATACGAA